GGTCCTGAGTTCAATTCCCAGCAACCACATGGTGGCTCACAACCATCTGTAATGAGATCTGGTGCCCTCTTCTGGCCTGCAGGCAGAGTACTGAGAATACTGTATACATAATAAATAAATAAATCTTTAAAAAAAAACTTATTTATCTGATTTTGTCTTCTTTTTATCAATATTGGTTATTCCATACATCTTAGATTTTATAATTATCTTTTCCATGTATGCAACAAAAAGGACCTTTGGAATATAAGTATTTCATTGACTCTAGATATTTTTAGGGACTACTATCATTTAACAATATCAAGTATTCTATATATCACTGTTAACTTGACACAAACTAAAGTAACCTGAAAAGAGGAAACCTTAATCAAAAAATTGCATTAATCAAATTAGCCTGTGGGAATATCAATGAGAGAAATGTATTGATTAATGATTGATATGGGATGGCCCAGCCCACTGTAGATGGTACCACCCCTGGGCAGGTGGTCCTGGGTGTTATAAGAAAACAGCTGAGCAAGCCAGTAAGTCACACTCCTTCATGACCTCTGCATCAGTTTCTGCTCTAGGTTTTTATCTTAAATTCCGGCAATATCTCCCTTTAATAGTAAGCTTTAAGATACAAGGTGAAAAAAACTATTTAATCCCCAAACTGTTTTAGCATTGTTTTATCACTGTAATAAAGAAGCAAACTCAATCAAATACATATATATATAAATATGTATGTATAAATTCTTTTATTTCTTTTGGTACTTTCTAGTTCTAATGCATCAAATTTCTTCTCGCCTTGGTTAAATTTTCTCTTATATCTTTTACTAAACTTAATGCTATTTTAAATGAAATTATTTTCCCATATTTCATTTGTAAAATGCTGATAAATACAAACAACTGATTTTGTGTTTTGAACATGAACCATGAAACGTTGTCTAACTTTGATGTTGAACCTCTTGCTCTGGTCATAATTACCAGTTCAATGTTGAGTAATAGTGCCAATTGTTTATATTATTTCTGCTGTTATGTGGCAAACTTTTTTTGTCAACAATGTATATAACATCTAATTTACAGTTTTAATAAATGCCCATAAATGTTGTAGAAGTTCCCTTCTATTTCTAGTTCTCTAAAGAGAAAGGGAGCAAATATAGAGGGATGGGGGAAAGAATTTGACGTGTCCTACTAAGAAAGAGAAAGTTGTAAGAGAAGCTGATAATGGACCTGCTTCTGCTAGGATGTCAAGTCCATAAGACAGGAATGTGTTAGATAAGTTAAAGAGAATGCTAACCTTGAGTTCAGGACTTATGCCTCAATTCTCATGACTATTATTAAGAATAAAACAGCCGGGCGGTGGTGGCACACGCCTTTAATCCCAGCAGGCGGATCTCTGGGAGTTCGAGGCCAGCCTGGTCTACAAGAGCTAGTTCCAGGACAGGCTCCAAAGCCACAGAGAAACCCTGTCTCAGAAAAACAAAACAAAACAAAACAAAAAATAAATAAATAAATAAATAAAACATTTCAGAGAAGTAGGACTCAGAAAAAAAGTCTCACCATTCTTAGGAACTTACTCCAGAAAAATGACAATAAATCAAGAACCCTATAATGGATAAAACTCAGGAGAATAAATAAAGAAACAAGCCCCCCACCACCCTGGATATCAGGTGAGCAGCAAGCCAAAGTGAGATGTCAGATCAGGTTAGGATGGTTTCATGGAATAATCCTTCAAATGTGGAGATTCCAAATGTTTTCACATTATTCCTAAAAGTTTAGAACTTAAGGAAGTGATAAAAATGAAGGAAAAATCTATTCAAAACATTATGTAAAAGCAAAAAGCAAATAAAAACAAAACAAAACAAAATCTATGCAAAAAACATCATTAATAATACATAGTTCATATCAGTTAGTTGAAGAGGGAATAACATTTACCTAATTGTAATGATAAAATTTATTTTCTATTATAATTTAATCAATACACAAAACATATGCAATGAAATTATGTTTATAATCTTGAGCAGAGATGCTTGTACCTATGAAAATTTAGTAATCATGGAGAGCCAAATCAATATTGTCTAATGTCAACTGTTAATAAAATATAAAGGCAAACTTTAGGTGGGTGTGTTAGCCCATGTCTGGAAAGCTCAACACAGAGGAGGCACAAGGAGGAAGATCATGAGCTCAGACTGGAGTACATAAGACCCTGTCTCAAAACACAAAAATAAAAAGAATCGAACTTTATTAAAGATTAGAAAAGTAACCCCCAAAAATGAAAACATAGTAACTACATTTTTGGAGAATGGAAGTGGGATGGTATCAGTGACCATCATTTTTATTTGTGATAGCAAAAAAAAAAAAGTAGACAGAGTTTTGGTTGTTTGTTTTGATTTCATTTTGGTTTTTTGTTTTTTAAGATAGGATCTTATTATGTATCCCTAGTTGGCCTGGAATTCACAGATCCACCTGCCTCTGCTTCTTCTGTACTGGGTGGAATTAAAAGCACATACCACCATACCTAGCAATAGATTACTATGGTTTTTTTGTTTGCTTTTCTTAGTGCACTGATGTTTTGCCTGCATGTATGTCTGTGTGAAGGTGTCAGATCCACTGGAACTGGAACTAAAGACAGTTGCAAGCTGCCATGTAGGAGCTGAAAATTGAACCCAGGTCCTCTGGAAGAGTAGTCAGTGCTCTTAACCATTGAGCCATCTCTCCAGCCTCTGACTACCATGCTTTAAAGAGAATATTAATCTATACAAACATCTGAATTAAATACTAAATGACTTTTATGGCAGAGAGATAGGACTTACATATCCATGGTAAATGTTTGCCTATAGTATTTATGGGACCCTGGGTTCAATCCTTAGCAACACTGAAAAAAAGTTTCTGTAGCAACAGAGAATTATCTATAAAAAATCTCTAAATTTCTTCACTTTTGGTCTTTGCTTTAGAACACGCCAGAGAAAGGAAAACTAGTAGTACAACACAATTTGGGAAATATGGACCAAGATTATGTGTCTGACTTCAGCTTCCTAGACTTTCAGAATACACAAACTACTAAAGAAATTCTATTTTTTTTTTTAGAATTGTTAGTAGGTAAGAGTAGAAATATAGTACTATTAGTGCCTTACTAATGAGAAAAATTAAATGAAACAGAACAATCAATTTCATGACTAAGAGTCCATAAATAATAACATCTCTGTCATACTTACTCTGAGCTTTTTTGGGCTTGTATGGATTGGAAGCAAGTGTAGAGTACCCGACCAGTCTATTTAAAAAAATAGAAATGAAATGTAATACACAAAAGGAATTTTTTTCTTGAGACGAAATATCTGGATATCTTTACAGAGTACATTATAGTATTCAATATACATATACAATGTATAATAACTGACTCAGTATAACAAGCATTTCTATCTTCAACTATTAATCATTTTGTTTGTTTTTTTAAGACAAAGAGGTATAGCCTAGGCTGTCCTGGAGCTTGATCTGTAGACTAGGCTGTTCTTGAACTCACAGAGATCCACCTGCCTCTGTGTCCTGAGAGCTAGGATTAAAGGCATGAGACACCATCGCCATGTGTACCATTAATCATTTTTGAGTTGGAAATTTCATAGCAATTTAGTAGACTCTAACTTAAAACTCAAAGGCTTTTATGAACATATGAGGCTAAAAGAGATTCCAAAGGTTATAGAATATGCCATAATAAATCAATTTCTGTGAGAAGGATCACATACACAATTAACATAAATCACAGCCAAACATCTTCTCATGAAACAATTACTAACAAATACGAGAACCAGGAAAGTGATTAACCTCATTTATTATTTGAGGACAATATGCAAATTAAATTGTGAAAAAAAAAAACAAAAGCATTTCAAAAAAATTATAAAGTTCCAGATATTGAATTCTAGTGTTCCTGAAAGACAGTGAATGCATGGAAAATATTCATTATTAGCACACTTATCTTCTACACACCATGATAAAGCTTTATTATCTTTTGCTTAGATTACTAGCAATATCTTCCTAACTGGTTTCACTGATGCCATTAATTTTACCCTTCTCACTCCAATCCTGTCCAGTCCACTAGCAATATAATACCTAGAGTAATTTTATTAAGATATAAAGTCACCCTGTAATGGCTTCCCCAACTCAGAGGCAAAGTAAAGGCCTTTCAAGAACTAGTTCCCATTACATTTTGGTCCTCTTTAAGGATAACCAAACCAGAAGACTTTCAAGAGACAAAAAAGGCTAGTGAAATAGAGCATTGTAATATAAGTATAAAAATTGAGACTGAGGCAAATTGGAATACATTGTCATCATCTTCCCCTCTATACTTAGTCACACCAGCTTCCTCAATGTTCTCTGAAAATGCCACACTCACCTTAGGGTGCTTGCACTTGCTATTTTCTCTATCAGGGATGATCTTCCCCCAAGAAATACTCAAGACTTGCTCCCTTACATACTTCTAATCTTGACTTGATAACCCTTCCCACTGAAAACTTCCCTGACCAACCTATTAAAAATGAAAAGAGATTTTTCTCTAACTGCATCTACTCTATGTATAAACACACACACACAAATGTGTATGTACACAAACACTTATACATAAAATACCTTTGTGTTTTTGTCTTCTATGAAACAGGAAAAAATAAGTCCTACAAAGCCTTGATCCATCATTTGGTACATGGCTTGTGTACGAACATCTGAAATATAAATAAAAATATTCTGTTAATAACCTATACTTAACAGATTTTATTTAGAGATAATAGTAAGGACTAATTATTAGTTACCCTATCAATACTCATATTCTACAGGCAAAATAGAGATGTATTGTAATGATATATAAATGTCAGAGCATATTTTGCCAAGTTAGAGAAATATTATGAAAAGTTTGCTATTAAATAGTAACTCTAGGATGCTTAGCCTGAGTGGCCCTACTACAAAATGTAGCACAGAAAAAAATTAGCTATCCCTAAAACTTCGTAATTTTCTCTAGACTACAAGATAGGCTTTGGAAGTGACAAAAGAATTTCTTAGAAGTAATGCCTTCTAAGTTTCCCTTTTGATGACCATTCTATCTAATGAAGGAAAAATGATATTCATTTGAGGAAAATAAACAAACACTGCGACCTTATAACACTTACCAACATGGGAAGGCCAAACGGTTATGTGAGGGTGAGAATGATACCAGCCAACAACTCTCATGGGACGACCTGTCAGTTCAGCCAACCTGTATGTTTGTCAAGGTATTTTCAAAATAAGAAAAATCCTGATGCTTATAATAAAGGCTCAAAATACATAATTAAGGGTGAAATAAGATTGATGCACAGTCATTTTTTAAATATAATTCAATTTCTATTATTGTCTTATTCCAATTGTGCAAATGTTTGTTCACTCAAATCTTTATATTCTCTGCAAAAAAGCTTGTTTAAATCTTTAAAATTCATTTATATTTTCAATTTGAGACTCTTCATCTACTCCTACTTCCAGTAAAAAATATGTAAGAAATCAATGTGTGTGTACATTTATGTCCAGTAGTTCACAACTTTCCTAATGCTATGGTGATCCTCTAATATAGTTCCTCATGTTGTGGTGACCCCCTAACCATAAAATATTTTTTGTTGCTACTTCATAACTAATTTCCTTTCTATTATGAATCATAACGTTAATATTTCTGGAAATAGAGGTTCACCAAAGCAGTCATGACCCACAAGTTGAGAACCATATATACTGATATGTGTACATTGTAGGACGGAACAGACATGCTAGGCAAGTGCTCTGACTTTAAGCCATAATAATTTTTTAATTTATGTCTATAGTAAGCTGTCAAATATTAAAAAGAGCAAAGTAAAGTGGTTGTAGGCCAAAGTTAACAGTTCAGTTTCCCATGTCCTGTAAAATGCTTAGTTTTCCTAAAAACTACCTATATTAAAACACAACCAAATGATTGCCATTTTGACTGAAATGAAATAGGATCACAACATAAGTTTTATTTGCATGTCCTTGACGGCTGGATGTTAAATACTTTAAAAAGATTTATTTTTTTATTCTGTGTGTTTTACTTGCATGTATTATGTGTACCATGTGCATGCCAGGTACCCAGAGGTTTCTTCTTTTAAGAAAATGAATCATGAAGAATTGAATGCTACTTTTTCCTAGTTTCAACTCTGTTATAGTTTCTTCTTTTTGTATAAATAAGTGAATTAAAAAGTAATTGAGGGATTAAGGAGGTTAAGAGCAATTCCCAGCACCCACATAGCTGCTCACAACTATTTTTAACTCCAGCGCCAGGAAGTTTGATACTCTCTTCTGGTCTCCAAGGCATTGCATGCACATAGAGAGTAGACAAACATGCAGGCAAAACACCCATATAATTGATAATGAAAGTTAAAAAAAAACTTAAGTGAAGCATTACTGCTTCAGAATGGCCATTCTAACTATATTAAGATGTATAGAGTTTGGGACTGGAAAACTGTCTGAGTGGCTAGGTTAAACTAGCTGTTTTTATTTGTGAGTTAATTGGAATAAAGTCATTTAATTTTAAAAAGAATGTACTGTCTACTAGGTTCATTGTGCATATATTGATTGGCAGCATTTTCCGGTGTTTAATTTTTACAGTTCTGTATACATTCCAGATATTTACTGCCTGTCTGAAGTATAGTCAGCAAAGATTTTTCTCCCATTCTATGTAAGGGCTGGAGAAATGGTTTAGTGGTTTAGAGCACTGGCTGCTTTCCTAGAGAATCCAGGTTCAATTCCAAGCATCCATATGGCAGTTCATAACCATCTGTAAGTTCAGTTCCAGGAGATCCGACAACTTTTTCTAGCTTCATGGGCACCAGGCACACATACACATATATAAGCAGGCAAAATACCCCCACACATAAAATTAAACACACACACACACACACAATACATTTTATACAACTAAGTCTGAGGAACAGTACACTAAAGTCAGGCCAGGTGGACTACCCAGAACCTAAGTGGATCATTAAGTCTGGTGGCTTTCAGGCAGAGAACATCTTCAAAGAGACAGAACCCTAAATATATCCAGTGGGTCCCACTTGAGTAATCCACAAAGCACAGAGAAACACAAGTATGTGAGGAAAGGACCTGAGGCCCAAGAAAAAGTAACTGCCCCTTACAAGGGTAAGTAACTACTTGGCCCTGAGAAGCAGGATGGGACCAGCAGTTGTTCCCCCCTATAATACCCTGCCAATGTAGAAAGACATCTTTTAGGAGGCAGGGGGCAGAGTGCTTAGAAGGGTCCTATCTTAGGAATAAGGAAAACTTGCTATGCTCTACACAGTTAAACCTGAAAAGGCTCAGATGCTCTCCAAGTTGCTCAACAGCATCCTAGAACCCAGTGCTCATGTGTCTGTATAGCAAGACAGAACATGTCTCAAACAATGAAAAGAAAAACTAAAGTTGAAAGAAATAAAAGTATTTTAGTTTTAAAACAGAGTCTCACTACATACCACAGGCTGGTTTCTACCTTTAAGTACTGGGATTACAGGCATGTGCCATTATACCCTAGCTGACAAATTATTTTCCTGGGCAGATTAGCAATACTGAAACACAGAAGAATCATTTAGATGAAGCATGACATTTGGGGACCTGTCATGTCACTAAAGCCCCAGTTTCACACAGAGATGGAACCTTGTAGTAGCTCTATAAGCTGACAGCTTTCTTCATAAAGTAATTAACAGCATTTCTAGTCAGGATATTCTCTATAGAGATTATCACACTGTTTGGGATTTAATAGAATGTATGTATATGTGCATACTCTAGAAAATGTTAGCCAAGTTTTCAAAGCTTTAGTTGGTAAAAAAAAAATGTATCTGATAAAGAAGTATCTCAACTACTGGATCAACTGAATTATTGAATAAATTTCTTCAATAAATAACCATGCAAAGATTGAAAAATAGGGAAGATGAAATCAAGTAGGCCATGTTAGGAGAATCTGTTGATAATTCTTCCATACTAATAAAGGATTTTGATTGGCAGTTAGGGCTTGCACTTTCTGGTGGCAAAGTTGCTACATTAGGAGCTGGAGAGATGGCTTAATGGTTAAGAATCTATACCACAATTGCAGAAGATATGGATTTAGTTCCTGGCATCCACATCAGGCAATTCACAACTGCCTATAACTCCAGCTTCAAGCGATGCAATGTCTTCTTCTGAACTTTTCAGGCACCTGCATTCACATATGGCTTATATACCCACACATAAGATAATAAAATACATATTTTAAGATCGTTGAATTACAAATGAAATCATGTGAGCAACATTTTCTTGTGTGTATCCAAGGGACTCTTAGGGATTGTACTTCACACACAAAAAAACAAATATCATGATGTAAAATGAAGCAAACTATATTTTTGGACATATGTAAAGACACTTTAGACTCTAACAAATTCCTCAGAAGTGGCAAATAAGATGGCCCTGAAGTTTAAATATCAAGAAATGATGAATACCAATGCTATGATATTTCAGTGCTTCAACTGATATAGCAGAGTGACTACTGTGTATTCAGAAACCCTATAATGTTTGACTGCTACACCAGGAAAGCAGCAGTGATGATATTGCCAAGATAAAAATCTATCAATGAGGCTGGGCAGAGGTGGCACATGCCTATAATCCCAGCACACAGGAGGCAGAGGTAGGCAGATCTCTGTGAGTTCAAGGCCAGTCTGGTCTAGTTCCAGGACAGGCTCCAAAACTACAGAAACCCTGTCTCAAAAAACCAAAAGAAAAAAAAATCTATCAATGTGAGCAAAGTGGTGGTGGCGCACGCCTTTAATCCCAGCACTCAGGAGGCACAGGCAGGCAGATCTCTGTGAGTTTGAGGCCAGCCTGGTCTACAGAGCTAGTTCCAGGACAGCCAGTGCTGTTACACAGAGACACCCTGTCTCAAAAAAAGCAAGAAAAACAAAACAAAATAAAATTTATCAATGTCCTAAAAAAAGGAGATTTTATGGTGAAAAGAAAATGTATAAAAAGATGAAAAAAGGTATAGGAGGGATTGAAGAGATGTTTCAGTGGTTAAGAGACCTGGCTGCTTTTCCAGAGGACTCAGGTTCATAAACTCCAGTTCCAGGGGATCTGTCACCCTCTTCTGGCCTCCTTAGGTACCAGGCACACATGTGGAACATTTACAGCTTAAAGTAAAAACAAATACAACTTTTTAAAAAGCTATAGTGGCAAAATTTTTCATAACTAATTTATCTAATTTCTTAAATACTTAAGAAATGTGTGCAAAAGTTCTACTATAAGCTAAAGATTAGTTCAAAAGTAATGTAAATGCACAAAGCATAAATATACCTGAATATGAAATTACATATGACTAATAAAGGAATATATTTTTATATGTAATCAATCCAAGATCTTTGAAAACCCTTTTTTTTTTTTTTTTTTTTTTTTTTTTTGGTTTTTCAAGACAGGGTTTCTCTGTAGCTTTGGAGCCTCTCCTGGAACTAGCTCTTATAGAGCAGGCTGGGCGGTGGTGGCACACGCCTTTAATCCCAGCACTGGGGAGGCAGAGGCAGGCAGATCTTTGTGAAAAACCTATTTTAAGAGGTTGTATATAAACTAGAATATTCTATCTTACTTATATTTCAAAGTATTATAAAATACAAAATTTAATAGAGAAAAACTTGATATCAACAAAATACTCTAAATGCATATAAAAACTTTAAATCCTAAAATATAGACAAAGGAAAAAGAAAGCAACATTAACAGTATTGCTTTTTCATTTCCTGTCTGACTGGGAGACTATACTCCAAGTAATAAAATATTGTTGGGCTAGCTGGTGTTGTCTTACATTTTTAGTCCCAGCCCTTGGGAGGCAAAGGTAGGTAGATTTCTGAGTTCGAAGACAGTCTTTTCTACAGAATGAATTCCAAAGACAGCCAGAGAACTCTGTCTCAAAAAACCAAAATAAATAAATTAATTAAATTTAAATTAAATAAATTTAAAAAAGAAAGAAAAAAGATACTTTTACAAAGTATATATTTTGTTATTGACTTCCAATGAACTGTTAACACATAAATATGCTAAATTCAATATTAACAATTTATTACAAAATGAACCTATAAGACAGGAGGTGGTGATACAGGCCTTTAATCCCAACACTCAGGAGGCAGAGGCAGGGTGATCTCTGTGAGTTCAAGGCCAGTCTGGTCTACAAAGTGAGTTCCAGAACAGTCAGAGCTATTACACAGAGAGACCTTGTTTCAAAAAACAAAAAAAAAAAAGAAACAAAAAAAAAAATCAAAGTGGACCTACAGAAAACAAACCAAAAAAAGGAAAATTTAAATATAAGTAGTATGCATGCGGGCTGGAGAGATGGCTCAGAGGTTAGGAGCACTGCCTGTTCTTCAGGACGTCCTGAGTTCAATTCCCAGTAACCACATGGTGGCTCACGACCGTCTGTAATGAGATCTGGCGCAGAATACAGTATATATGATATATAAATAAATCTTCAAAAAAAAGTAGTATACATGCATAACATAAACTTTGAAAAGCATACAAAGAAGCTAGATGTTATGGTAGCCATCTGCAATCCCAGCACTCAGGAAGTGGAAGCCATACCAGACGAGGCTACAGAATAAGACCTTCTCTTAAAAATAAAAATTATAAAAAATATTTTAAAATTCATTTTCTCTAGTCTTATGTACAGATAGAACCAGGAAAAGATTTAACAATCCAGTTGAACAATAAACCACTAGAGGCACTATTATAAAGTAAACTTGCCACAGATAAAGTATGGAATTCAGACTACAGGAAACAAATCATTCTTTGGTTATCTTTAACATGGAATAACGTGTTCAGTTCTCTTCATTGCATTTTTCTGAGGGAACATTTCACAAACTAATCTTTTCAGGGATAGGAACCAAGATAATGAAGAACCTAGAAATTAGAAAAACTGGAAGAGCAGGAAGGAATAGTCAATGCATAGAAAGTACGATGGGAAGCAAAAGAAACTGACTATAGAGCTCACTGTTATGGTGTTTTACCCTGGGTCTTGTGGTATTTGTAAGCATGACTGTTCAAAATTTATTTCTTCCAATAAAAGAAACAGAAAGAAATGAAATTCTGATTAACCTGCGATAAGGAGATAGCTCAGTTTACAAGGTACTTGCATTTTAAGTACAAGGCCTTGAATTTCATCTCCAGAACTCAGAACCCAGTCAGTAAGCAAGTAACAGGCCTGGATAGATGGCTCAGTGTTTAAGATTGTTCTTGCAGAAAATCCAGGTTTAGTTCCTATCACCTACTTGGTGACTTACAGCCCTTTATCTGTAACTCCAGTTCAGGGAATCTAATGCCCTTTGACCTCTGCAGGCACCAGGCACACACATAGTGCACATATATACATGCAATCAAAACATTCATATACATAAAAAACTTAATTAAAAAAGAAAACAACTGACAAAATATGCTGGCAAGGTTATAGGGGAAAAGGAACTATTCATGGGAGTATAAACTGATACCATGGCAATGGAAATCAGCATGAAGGCTCCTCAAACACATAACTCAAATATAACTACCATAGGACCCAGCTATACCACTCCCAGGTATATATTTGAAAAACCCCATAGCCCTGAGATACTTCCAGATTCATGATCATTGCTGCTCCATTCACATCAAGGAAATGAAAGCAGCCTAGATGCCATCAACTAATGAATGAATAACTAAATTGTGGTGGAGTTAGAAAATAGATTGAGTGAAGTAGCCAAGATCCAGAAAGACACATGTTATAAGGCATAAGGTTTTTTTTCATATGTGGATCCTAGCTTTTAATTTTATATTATGTATATTTTTGTAGGAATAAATGTGTGTAGATATGAGGAAACCAGAAAGAGGCCCATGAGGGGCAGGAATAGGGCTTTCAGGAAGCACAGTGTAGAGGGTGATAGAACACATGTATAAGCAGAAAGAAAATACTGAGGACAGATTTAAGTAGGGGTGGGGGCAGGGCGATGGTGGAGCAGAGGGAATGGAGGTAGGGTCAACTGAATGTAAGCATGTAGGAAAATATCATATGGAAACTTCTTACTTGGCAAAGTAAAAATTGTTAAAGGTAAAAAGTGTTTAAAAGAAACAGTACCCAAATATAGACACACACACGAGAGAGAGAGAGAGAGAGAGAGAGAGAGAGAGAGAGAGACAGAGAGAGAGAGAGAGAGAGACAGAGAGAGCGAGAGAGAGAGAGAGAGAGAGAGAGAGAGAGAGAGAGAGACAGAGAGAGAGAGAGAGAGAGACAGAGAGACAGAGAGAGAGACAGAGACAGAGAGAGAGAGACAGAGACAGACAGAGAGAGAGAAAGGGGGAAAGGGGGTAAGAATGACTAACCAAATAATTATATCTAAAGAGTCAATATGAAAACCAGGGAACATTCACCAAGGAGAAAACTTATGAAGCCACCTAAAGTAAGATGACTATAGTCATCGCATCTGTGTGGCCCAGAAGCCCCACAAAACACAAAGCATCTAATGTATTAGTAAGGATATTTCTGCCTCTGTTGAGGCTGCAGACAGCTGCTCTGGAGAAATTTCTACACGGTCCTTTCTCTTGTCAGAACGTCGCAAGATAATGACAGAATGGATGTGAACAATTCTGATGGTATCCATCTAAAGAAAAATTCAAAGAAAACATTATTTCTCTCTCTGGCCAATTATACTTCTCTCTCCAATTTCCTGTAATTATAGGATTACATTTTATTAAAGTAGCAGTACAGAATTTCAGTTTTGAAAACTGATGCTTTTGTTATTAATGATGCAATGTTATATAAGTGTGTATATATAAATATACATATAGTATTTCTGAGTCAGAGTTTCACATAGTTCAGCTTGGCCTCCAACATGCTGTGTGGCTGGGGCTGGACTTGAACTCCTGATATTCCTGCCTGTATCAATGCATGATATCCCAATGGAGATATATATTTCAGAATATTCAGATCAAGGATATACTTCTTGAATAATCATCTAAGATGTTCAAAATGTATTATCATATGAAGGTATATAAAAGTGTTCAAATGCTAATAATATGGTTGAGGAAAAAGTATTATACATGAAATCACACTAAAGGAATGGAGAAAAATCAATGTGAGGAAATCAGAAGAGTAACTTACATTAGAAAAAATTATTCATAGAGAAGGTAGGCAAATGTATGTATTTTTTGATTGCTGTGTGTGGACATATAGAATTCCTGCAACTGCCAAGTGGGTATATGAGCTACAGAAGAGGTAAAGTGTGAGTAAAATGTTTGGGAAATAGATTGATTAAGTGATGTAGTTGCAGAGCTCAAGGTGGGCTGGAAGATAGGAAGTCTAAGAAAATACAGAATAAAAGCATGTAAAAAGTTTCTAATATTATGTAGTAGATTTCAAGATGAATTGGAAAGAAATTAAACACAGCCATATTCTTCTGGTAGTACTTAAGCTTAGGCTCAAACAGAGACAACAAAATTTTCACGAGGTAACAAAAAGTATGGAGACTGGGGCCAGAAGTCTGGGCCTAAATCAAGAGGGGTGTCCACATTTAGAACAGTCTAGAGTTAAAGGTAGAAAACAGACAAAGAAGACATAAGGAGCAGTGAAATGTTTCAAGTTTGATTAGGGGTGGGGTGGTTGGCTTTCAATGACAGAAGTGGAAAGACAAAAATAAACTCTGAGAGGAATTTTTTTGCTATAACTATGCTCACCCTACTGTACAATATGAAATCCATTAGGCACAGCTCTTAAAACATAAAGTCTGATTTTAAATGAGCCATAAATATGATACCAACTATAATTAAAACACTTAATACAAAAAAGGAGGAGGGTGAAGAATGTGAAATATCTCAACATTTCTTAAATATTGATAACTTTAAAAATTAGAACTAAATAAAATATACCTGTATAGTAACATTATTTTCATCCTTTTGCTGTACTTATTTATTAAAGAAAATGTGAATATAGCTAAAAGTTAGCATTTTGGTATGAATAACTATACTGAATAGACAAGTATCAAAACAAGGTATCAATTGCATAATACTGACTATTCTTTTAATAAATAAAATTTTATTGAAGGAATAACATATTCTTTGTGTTGTAGCTGTTTGACAAGGTCTCACTCTATAGCTCAAGATGGCCTGCAACTTACTATGTAGCTTAGGTTAGCCTGAAACTTCCAATGATCCTTTGCCTCACCTCTTCAGTTCTAAGATTACAGGTGTGAACCACCTGGCTTTATAACTTGTTGAAAACACAACACAGATAGCTCAAAAGCTTATATCTCAGAAGTCTGTTATGCTTTTGCTTTATTCAGTTACTTAGAGTTCCCATAAATCATGTGTTCCTATTTTATGGGTCAGTGGCTTTTCATACACTCTCCCTTCTGTGTAAATACTTTCACTTGGTAAGCTCTTTCATATTAAGTTCTTGACCATACGATAAATATCTAATCATTTTCCCTTTACATGTATTCTTTCATAATAGATATGCACTTATTTCTGCTAGAACACACATGGTACTCTTCACACTTTTCTCCTGTACCAGAATACAAGCTTCTCAAAAGCAGGTGCCATGAGAGAAGACCCTGGACTTTCCACAGGGCAGGGAACCCTGACTATAAAGGATTTTTCAACTTTACATTGATGGGAATATAGTATACATTCAGCAGAAATTGTACTTTAAGTTTAAATCTTCTCCTGGACTGTTGATAAACATGTAACATAATAGACTTTTGCAAAGCTGAGCTGCAACTTTCAGTAAGCCATACAATCATGAAGATAAACAATTGATACTGCAGTTTGCTAGGATGCTTCGTACTTTAGGTGTATTGTACACTTGGGGTCTATGATATTTTCAACTTATAGTGAATTTGTTAAGATATAACAAAGTTGTATTATTGAAGACATGGAAAAAGACAAGAAAAGAGAAAAAGAGTGATTCAAAATAAAAAGGTAGATTAAACAGAAAACAAAAGAATGGCAACTGTAACTCATATATTAGTAACTACTAAAAATAGCAAACTCCAAATAAAAAGATCATCAGACTAGATTTTTATATGCTGCTAATAAGAGCTATAAATATTGGTATACAGACATGCTAAAACCAAGAAAAACTTTACAAAAGAGTAATCGCTAAAGGAATACATAGAATTAATAAGTAGGTTTTCTCTTTTTTTTTTTTTTTTGAAAATGACGGTGACTTAAGTATAGTATTTGTAGTCCAATGTGACTTTTCTTAAAGAGTTATTTATTTATGTACTTTATGTATATGGGTTTTTTTCCTCCATGCACATTTGTGTACCAGAAGACGGCATCAGATCCCACAGGTGATGTGAGCCACCATGTGGGTGACAGGAATTGAAATCAGGACCTCTGGAAGAGCAGCTAGTGATCTTAACCATCCCTCCAGCCTGTGACATTTTTTAAATAAGAGAAGTGTTTTGGTTAATCTGGGTTGTCAACATGGCTGGACTGACAGACGTCTAGAGTAGAATTAGGGAAGCTCACTTCTGGTGTGTCTGTTCTAGAATCATTGTCAGAGAGGATGGATTTCCAGGAGAGTAACAGGGGAAGGTCTCTCCCTGGGTGTGGATTTTCCATGCAGTAGTCTGGGAGCCCAGGCAGAATTAAAGAAGAGAAAGCCTGCCAGGGCAGCCTAGCTCCATCCTTCCTGAGCTAGAGCATGTAGTACCATCGCCATCACTCATGGCCACAAGACTCCAGAGTCTCCAGCCATCTAATGGAGATGCACAGCAGCTACAGTCCAGGGAGCTTCCAGGCCTGGATTGCAGCTACATCATTTGTTCTCCTTGAGCCGAGGCTTTCAGCTTGTCAGTTTAGCTGATACTGAATTATCCCACTGTCTGGCATGCAGAAAGCCAATGTTGGACCACCAGCCCCCAGTTGAGTAACAAATCCTATAAATTGCCCTTCATAACAAATATCATAGAGAGGGAAAGAAATAGATCCCAATTCTATTGCTTCTGTTCCTCTAGAAAACTTTAACACAGGAAGAAAGGTGGTTTAATTGGTTATAATGAAGGAGTTTGTATATAAAGATAATAAGTAGATGCTTGGCCTAATAGCTTGGAGAAAGCATAAGAATCTATTTTTATTGTAGTTTACAGAATCATTGGGCTCTGATATATTGAAGGAAAACCTAGCTGGTTTTATACAATTAGAAAATGGCAGGAAAAGTGGGGTGGGGGTGTACACTCAGGAGAAAAGGTAACAAGAATATGAATTGAACCTCAAAGTCTTAAAGGAAGTGGAAAAAAGGCTAGAAAACAGGAATGGAGTAATGCTGATCAGATTATTACTGGTAGTCAAGTAAAGTTTCTTCAAAGAATAGAAACTAGGTCACATTCTAGTGAGAATTTTCATCTGATTTTAGTAGGAAAAAAAACATGCTGCACAATTTCAGAGTGGATTAATGTTCTGGCTGAAATAATCAAACAGACTGCAGAAATTCCTCCCCAACTGCATATTTCTATCATGCAAAATTTTATCATACATACCTTTTCTGCAACTGTGCGCATTTCAGTTCCAGTGTATGTAAATTTGGAGTCACTCCTATTGGAGATAGATTAGAAAAGGGGGGAAACTGGGGTTTGGAATAGAAAAAGGAGTCAAGGGAAAAATAAGATAAATAGTTTTTGCAATGCAACCTTAGCTGAAACAAAAGAGGGAAGGGGAACAGAGTAGATTCCAGGTATTAAGGAGTGGGCTTGATAAACAATAACCTATGCTTTGCAGTTTAAACAAAGGGGACCCAAAGGTTTTACCATCTCTCAAGCTTTCGTGTTACTAGGAACCTCTAAGGCTCATAGGGGGTGAGGTGCAACAGGACTGAAATCCACTGACAATTTAGATGGAAAAATGGATCCACAAGGGAAAAGCCTCTCAATGTGTGGACATTATGTGTCACAATGAAAGTTACTGGCATATCTCTGACAATTCAGAGAACAGAGAATGTAAAACACAAAACAAGAAAATGAAAAGCAATAGAACCAAAGTCAAGTATATTATTTCAGTCAACAAAGTTCTATCCAGGTACCTCTCATGCAACCAACTGGGCTCCTGGAGCTCCAACAAAATTCTACTTATAAGAACTTTGATAGGTTCGCTTACGATGTTGGTTCCTTCAGCCAGAATTTTCCACACGGGAGCATAAATATCTCAAATAAAAGTCATGCTATGATATAAGGTTAAAATGAACCTTTAGGATTGTGGTGGAACTCAGATTGTATTGTTGAGGGAGTTCTGTACTGCTCATGTTAGGATACAGTGTGTACACACGATTACAAAAGTTGTTGCAGTTTTTCACCAAGAATCAGTTTAGAGATTATAATATGATGTAAGTAAACAAATATTGTCTTACCTTATGTCATCATTCAACTGGAGTAGGAAAGAGCAGAAAACATTACTGGCACATTGTTATTTAGGTTATAGAGATGCAATTTTACATGAAAATTAGGTAATATGTTCACGCACAACAACATGAAGGACTAGAGAATTCAATTTTCAGCACTTTACAACTACACTGTATTTCTTCAACTACTTTCACAGCTCTGTAGCATTTAACCACAACAGAGACTTTGGAGTCCACGAAACCCTTTGACCTGAGTACTTTGCCATACTTTAGAATGCTTTAGTGATAGCTCTGCTTCCCATAAGGAAAACTGGTGGTGGAACGAGAGGGTACTGTAATTGTGGGCTGCTTGTTTCCTAATATATCTTCATTATACCAGAATGTTTTTCTGGCCCGATTTGCTGCTTTGGTCACTAGTGTGATAACCCCCACCCCCGTGGGCTCATGTAGACCGCTGAGGGTTTGCAGGAACATAAGCACGGGTCAGAGAAAAAGGACCCCACAACAGCATTAGAAAACGCAAAGGACCTAAATTCCATTCCTGTGGCCTCCCAGCCGCCTCAGAGACTACTGGGTACTGATCAGCAGGATTTCAGCCAGGTTGGCCGACCTACTCACCTCCCCTATACATAGACCCATCACCTCCTCCTTTTCTGTGCTCAGAGCATGGTTGAGACAAACTAGGAAAGCGTCAGACTCAAGATGAACCGCTTGCACAGCTTGCACCACCTGCACCGCCATCTTTGTCGGTTCCACATCCGCCTAGGGCTCACAGCAGCCTGGCCAACCGGGTGCTCCTACGCAGCCTTCCCAGCCTGTCGCCCGACGCTCCGCCCCAGGCCTGGCTGAGCAGCGCGGGTTTCACGAGGGCGGAGCCTGGGGCGCGGAGGCGGTGCCACTGCTAGCAGTACCTGGGAGACTCCCGGGTCGGTCTGGGCTGCCGTAACAGTGGGAAACTGGGTGGTGGCGGGCAAAGTCAGTCTGCGCCATAGTTTGGGCCCCTGGGCGGCTGGGTGGCAGGGAGGCGGTGTTTTTCTGCCGGGGCGTACGTGGGCGGTGAGCAACTCCGAGCGCAAGGGCAGACGCCTCCATAGTGCTGGCGCCCATTTTGCCCGCCCTCTGAGGAGTGCCCAACGCGGCCTACACTCGTCAGGGACAGCTCTTTGAGGCAACTTCGCCAGGAACAACGACCTCTTTTGAAAGTCGGTCCTAAAACAGTTAAGGTTTTATTTTATTTTGTTTTATTTCCAAGTCACAACTCTTGAATCTCTCTGGACCACTTCTGGCTGCTGGCCTGACCTAACTTCGATTCTAGTGACCTCGGCCCTGGATGCCCCTAGTTTGCCCTGGGCTCACGTCGCGATCCCTGCTTGAGTGTCCCGGGGTGGGGGACCTGAAAGTTTTAGCCTAACTGTTCTGGAAGAGGAGTAATAAGTCCAAGAAACATATTCATGTGAGTAACCTTTTACAGAAACAGTGTTTTACTGTGTCTGAAAGAGCAACTCCAGTTTGCTTGCTGTTTTTTTTTTTTTTCAAAAGCTTTTAGATATGGATTTGTTTGATACAGGAAAAGAAGGACTGAGAGAGGGACTTCACATTTTATACAGGTTCGATTATATCACATCAAGAAACTAGTTCTAGGAAATTACAAATTTCCTCTGATCTCTTTACTGGTGTCAGACGTGATTAACTTATATGTAAAACTAATTTTATTTTAAAATATGTCAATGAACTAAGGGATAAATGTGCAAATCTTCCAATTTACAAGTTTACCAATTACACGAGGGATTTAGTATTTATTATAAATGAAAACAAAATATATAACACACAGTCTCTATAGCTCGTAAGTTTTTGTTTGAATTTGTTTTTTTCAAATTCCTTTTGTAGTTCTGAAGCCAGACAGATATGGCAGTACTGGAAAGGGAACTTATTCAAGCTGCTACTTGAAGAGGTGTTGATGCTTTGCTCTCCTCTCCCAAGTCAGTTCCAATCAAAGTCTTCCCACAAATACTGTCCCAAATCCAGGGCACTATGGTGCAATATATATGCCTACAACCTCTGTTTTTACCTTATGCTTATGCCACATCTTTCCGTGATTAAGTTTTATAATGATAAATGTTGGAGAAATTGCAGGGGTGTATTGGACCTATCTGCATTTTCTCTTTAACTTTCAATTTTATGGCATATATTATATATTTTCAGTTATTGTTCATAGCTAACATGTCCTGCCTTGGTGGGACAGAAAGTACTGCTCACCTTATTACAATTGTGTAAGGAATGTTTTTTATAATTTATCTGTTTAGCCACCTTCAAGAAGAAAATAGTTTTGTTTGTTGTTTTTAGTCAGTCTCTTATTCCAGAATGTTCATGCTACCTTTTACAGCTCCAAACATTTGACCAGAGATGGAAATAATGATTAACATTCACAGCAAGCTTATTATGTGCTAAAGACTACTAAGAATTTACATACATAGTGTGTGTAAACTACCTCAACTGGAATCAGGGTCTGCAATCTCTAGAATGTGAACTAGTGGACTGGTTATCTAATTTCTCTGTGTCTTACTTTCATTACCTTTAATTAGGTATAATACAAATGCCCACCTCATAGCATTCCACAAAGATCAAATGGGTCAATGTACCTACACGTGTTTTTGTTTCTGTTTTTTGTTTGTTTTATTTTTCGTTTTTCAAGACAGGGTTTCTCTGTGTAGCCCTGGCTGTCCTGGAACTCTCTGTGGACCAAGCTGGCCTTGAACTCAGAGGTCCTCCTGTCTCTGCCTCTGAGTGCTGGGATTAAAGGTGAGTGCCACCACCACCTGACACCTAAACATATGTTAAAACATATGAGAAGTGTTTAATAAATACCATTGCAGTCAATATGTTTATAATTTTACACCTCAGGGAAACTGAGGTAGAGGAAGATTAGATTGTCTGAGGGTTGGAAAGCTTCTAAATGGTACAAGCAGGATTCATTCATCAGCCCAGCTGATACCTGGGCCTATGTGATTTGGCAACTAAAATTATAATTGGATGAAGATCTTAAATGGTTTCAAATAATTAGCCTATTCAACCTATTGATACTATTTAAAAGCTCAAATACCTCAAAATTAAAGTAAGTCATATTCTTGTAAAGAAAAAAAAATACAAAACCATTCTTTCTGTAAAGGAAAAAAAGATGGTTTTGTTTAAATTACAACCAAAGAAAGCTCCTCTGTATTCTGTCATTCATTTAGAACTTAATTTACAAAATGTAGAAAAATAATGTGTCTAGGTCAATATGGCTTTTGGAATCAAGGCAACTTCTATGGAGGCCATCTCTTTTAGTGGATGTTTAGCTGTAAAGTTATACAAACGTATTTTGGGTTGCAGTTGTATTTGAAATTTGTAGTATTTTTTTAAGTAAAATTTCATAGGTTTATATTACATGTATTGTATTGTACCTTGTAACTAAATTTATCCTGCAGTTTTAAGATATTCTTAGTTTGGAGAATCTTGTATTTTGTGAACAAATACAGTATGCCAAAAATGTTCTCTAGTCAATTAAATTTGGGAAATGTTAAACTGTATAAAATCTCTGTACAGTATAACTTAGTTGGAGTTTTTACTATACTAATATGCTTTTATGGTCTCCAATATTCCCAAACTTATTTGACCAAGGAAAATGTTGGGATCAAGTGTTCTAAAGAATCACATCTATGGAAATGATGTTTTATTCATCCAACATGTGATTTTTATAGACTTTGATCTAAATGCCTTTTGCTCAGCCTTTGCTTTTATCTAGTGAGGGTGTTGATGTTTTCATAGTCATGTGGTGGTTTATCAGTCCTTTGATCACTGCAGTTGCCTTTCTCTGGGCACTTATGCTCTGAATGATAGGACACACAAATCCAGACTTAAGTGCTGAGTGTTGTTCCATTCCCAGGCTCATCTCATCAATACCCAGCCTGTTACCCTTTGGAGGTCACTGCAACACACTATTTCTTCTGAGAATATTTTGTAGTGCTTGATAGTAACTCAGAATATCACATACTATCTGCCTTCTCTTCCCCTGGAATTATTTCCTTCCAATGTCAGTATGACCAATAAAGTTTTGTTTTTATTCAAAAGAAATTTAAATGTCAACATGTTGGTTGTTGCTAGGACCTATCTATATCTATGAAATTGAGATGTTCTTGAAATTTTAACAGTTGGTTCCTGCTTAAAAAATGTGTGTGTATGTGCATATGTGTGTGCTCATTTTTATTTTTGTATTGAAATTTACTGGGGGTAGTGTATGTATTTCTAAAGCTCTACAAGAGAAGCAGAACACTTGTATTTTCTAAGTGAAAAAAATGGCTTACAACATATATAAGAAGAGACTCATGCATTTTAGGCAGATAGAAAGCAAGAGCAAGGGTATGCAGCTTGAAACAACACTGGTATTTGAAAGAAATGTTGGCTTAAATACAGTGGTAATGGTGATATTTGCTGGAATTACTTACCATAGGGTGTAGCAACTGAATGAGAAGAAGAAATTCAAGATAACTCATACCTTTTGAGTGTACAGAAAATGTGATATTGCCGTACAGAAAGTAGTGTTTGGTTAAGGAGAAAGGATGCTATCATAAGTAAGTTGAAAATGAGAGAGTACATCTAGGTGAAAAGGGGGACATGTGACAGGTTCGGAGTCATAATCACTCTGGAAATAAAATGGATAGCTATCATACCTATTAATTCGTCACACAAATGTGACCATATTCTCTCTTTCTCTCTTTTTTGAGACAGGGTCTCCTTATGTAGTTAACCTAGAGCTAAGTTATGTATACTAGTTGGCCTCAAACTTACTATATATATAGCCCAAGATGGCCTGAACCTTGTTCAGCCTCTGGCATGCTAGGATTACAGGCATGCACCAATATACCCGTTTTGAGACAATAGTTTTTACTCTTACTTTTCTTTTAGGGGATGAGCATAAAAACAGTGTTGGGGGAATCATATTCAGGATGGTGTCCTTGACAAAAGAAGGACTAGGTTTAGCTTCATTCCTTTATTTTTGGCTTCTTCTCATTCCATGTGTGCTCTGGACAGTATCACTTTGAAGGCCCTAACTATCTCCCAAACTATGCTTCATTTCCTTTCCCACTAATAGCTACTTATTAAGAATGGGGGGTCTCTACTGTGGGACAGATACCCACTGATGTATTTGTGCTCTGCAAAAAGTAGGAATACAGTGAATCTGCATCATGATGCTATGAGTGGTTTCCACAAGATTCTATTCATGAAAATGCATGTGAAGTTATGAGCTCAAAAGCTAGGCATAGAACTGTTATGGAGAGTTTCCTTGCTACCCCAAACTCTGAGAACAGTACTTTATTTACATCTCGTGAAGAGCAGAGAAATATTTTTTAACCTTCTAGTTTGTAGAATAAATATTTTACAATTATAGCTCTGTTGAAAAACGGGCTTCTATGACATCCTGCTTAAATGAAATAGGGAGCTAGATGGATGGCTATTATTTGCTTTCAGAAAGTCATGAAACTACACTAAATATTTTTCCTAAAATGAAAATCCCTTTCTGATTAGCCTCACTAGTATAAATAACTTTTTTAAAGAAAATGACAGATATTTCCTTTCCCCTTATAACAAACTTAGACTCATTTTAGAAAGCTGTATACATCATTAAGAATCTTTTTTAAAATGTAAGCAGTTGGGGAGTGGCTTTTATCTGAAGAATATGGGATGCATGTGTCTGTTTTACTACTTTTCTACCAAAATCATGTGTCCTTAGGTACACTTTTTCACATTTTCTATTGTTAACACACTACCATTGAATACTGCTTTGTAGATGTAGATGAGAGAGGAACTGTGTCCAGCCTCCTGTAGTTCTCATCTCTCCACAGAACAAACTTAGAATTCTTGAATGCTTTGCCATAGAAAGTTAGGATTACCTAGGCTTTGCCTGTGTGTCACTTGAGTTTCTTTTTCAGAAAGCTTAAGATGGCATTTGATATGTTTAGATTGTACAAATAGATATGTATGAGGCTTGGTTCTGTTTGGGTTGCTAGTCCCAGGTCACCTTGCTCACTAGTGAGTTCATCCCAACCTTAAAAGTCACACCTGTGTCCTGTGCGCGGATGCTGCAGGCTTAGGTGGAGAAAAGCAGGGCTAGAATTGGAACCCAAAGCCCAGAATGGCAAGAGAGGATGTGGGGGCTCCACCCGATCATCTCTGGGTTCATCAAGAAGGTATCTACCGCGACGAATATCAACGCACATGGGTAGCTGTGGTGGAAGAGGTAACTGCTTTCGTTTAAAATTTATTTATTTATTTACTTTTGCTTTCAAGTAACCTGGTTTCTATCTAGTCTCAGTATTCTCATGTCTTTGGTTTTATATTTATCATTCCTATTAGGAGACAAGTTTCCTAAAGGCTCGAGTTCAGCAAGTTCAGGTTCCTTTAGGTGATGCAACTCGGCCAAGTCACCTTACTTCCCAACTACCTCTCATGTGGCAGCTCTACCCAGAGGAGCGCTATATGGATAACAACTCTCGCTTGTGGCAGATTCAGCATCATTTAATGGTACACATTTTACTCAATAATATTCCTTTGTCCTGAAGATCTTACAACAGAGTACTTTATAAACTTTCCCTTTTCTGACAGGTCAGGGGAGTACAGGAACTACTGCTTAAACTTTTGCCTGATGATTAACCTGGTATGTATTTCTATTTTTTCTCCTTCTTCCCTTTCTTTCTTTTCACTCTATTCAGTTGTAGTGATTTGAATGATTTTTTTTTCAGGTGCTGGAATTCTAAGAAGATATGCTTCTCTGTTCTATTCATTATATGGCAATCGCATCATTCACCACTGCAGTGCTCCCACCCTTGGGTCCTTGTGGGGAGGGAGTAGTTTGAAAACTGCAGATGTTTAGGAAGGGTCATGAAGAACACTGCCAGTGAAACTACAGAGAGAGGGTTACACAGGGCAGTAATCAAGCCAACAAAAGCATTTAGTCAGGAAATGTAACTTGAAATGACTCCTTTGGAAATTGCCATAGAACCTTTAATGGACTTCATCAGCTGAACCTGGGATTTGGTGAATCCCAGAAAAATCAGCACATGCTTCAGAACAAATGCCCTCATCAACAAGGACTTGGTACTGATTTAGAGAGAAGAGAGCAGCTTCTAGCAGCATCAACATGTATTTGTCACTTATTTCCCTTGCAGCAAATTCACCCGCCTTTCCTTCTTCCATCCTGTAAATACCTAAGGTTTTATTCTAGTGTTTCCCATCCCAGTACTGACGTAATTTGTATATACTGAAAACTTGAGGAGTTCTGGGAGAAAAAGGTTATTTGTACTGATGAAATTAGTTTCAAAGGCTCCTATGCCTTTCTTCTTTCTGAAACTGTGTCTTTGAATTGTTTTTACAAGATTCTCATCAAAACCCTGTGAATCTAAATTCTTTGATTACAAATATTTTACTTAGTTGGCTTCCATTTGAGCTCAAAAGATAATGTTACCTTTTATTGGCACTTTTCTCAAGAGATAATAGCAACTAACATTACTAATTCCTAGGAAAGTGTTTGTTTTACTTGTAAAGAATTTCCTGAATTAAAGCAGTCATGACAGTTTATGTACATTAAAGTAAGATTTTGCTTTTTAAAATAAGTCTTGGGCCCAGAACAGTGGTGCATGCCTGTAATCCCAGCTATTTGGAAGACTGAGGCAGGAGGATCACTTGACCCCAGGAATTTAATGCCAACCTAAGAAACATAATGAGGCCATGTCTTAAAACAAAAATCACTTGGTTATAATAGTTACTGGGTATTGAGTTCTTACTGCTTTCCAGTTACTATTCTGTGCACTTTATATGTTTTATCATGTTTAGTTCTTCCATCAGTTCTTTGAGGTATGTATAATTCTTATTGCCATGAATAGTGAAAGAAAAAGTATTCAAGAAGTTTAATCATTTACCAAGGGTTTCTTTTGTGAATCATAAAACCAGGCATTGGGGTAGGCCTTTAAAACTGTGGTGTCATTCGAACATTTGTTTACAATATTCAAGATGACTAGACTGATTTTTTCATGTCTGTATCTTCTGTTCTTAATGAGATGGAAATACAAAATATAGTTGATTTATCCTATTAATTAAGAAAGAGTATTTTTAGTGCAATCATTTTTCCAACAATTGTAAGGTCATACTATTTGCTCTAGAAGAAAATTCCATGTAGATAGACATCAAAATCTTTATTATTAAAAAGCAAAATTGTAAATTTTTTTTTGTTTTAGTTTTCTGGATATGCCACAAAAGGATCCATGCCAGAAACAAGCCTGTGAAATACAGAAATGTTTACAAGGTAGGATATAGATTTTTTAAAATAATTTTTTTAAACTTTACCTGTCATCTAACTATAAGAAACTAATTATGAGCCGGCGGTGGTGGCGTACACCTTTAATCCCAGCACTCCAGGAGGCAGAGGCAGGCGGATCTCTGTGAGTTCAAGGCCAGCTTGGTCTACAAGAGCTAGTTCCAGGACAGAAACCAAAAGCTACGGAGAAACCCTGTCTCGAAAATCCAAAAAAAAAAAAAAAAAAAAAAGAAAAAGAAAAGAAAAGAAACTAATTATGTTATCAGCAACTTTCATTAGCTTTAAATGTAACATTTCTATAATTAATCATGAGTATTTTCTTCATCATATTATGAAATTTTTAGAATATTAAAAGTAATGCTTTGTAGGGAATGGGAGACTGTCTTCACTGGTAGAGTATTTACCTAACATGTGCAAAGCCTCAAGAGTTCTATCATCAGCACCACACACACAAAAAAGTGATGTCATTTAAGCTATGGGTTCCTGAGTCCCATTGTACATTAGAATTACCTAACTTTTTTGTTCTTGTTTTGTTTTGGTTTTTGAGGCAGGCTTTTTCTGTTTAACACCGCTGGCTGTCCTGAAACTCATTTTGTAGACCAGACTGGCTACAAACTCAGAGGTTCACCTACCTCTGCCTCCCCAATGTACCTAGAAAACTTTAAAACTTGTTTAGCACATATAAAGCAAACTTCCTAGAGGTAGGGTCTAAGCAGGAATTATTTTTACAAAGCTAACCAAGTAATTTTAATGCACAACCTGAGCTAAGCAAAGTCCTTCTACAAAAAGACTGGTTTGGAGTTGAGGATTTGGCTCAAGGATAGACTACATGCCCAGAATGCACTAGGCCCTTGTTTCCATCATGAACACTGTTTATATACAGAAACAGAAAAACCCAAGGATGATAATGCATACTTATAATCCCAATACCTTGGAAGCAGAAACAGGAGAATAACAAGTTCAAGACTAGCCTGAGCTAAAAAGTGACAGCCTATCTCAAAAACTCAAAAATACATATCTACACATCATATAGACAGGTTTTAATACTAGACTTCAGGGACTAGGAATTAGCTCAATGGAGGACTAATTGCCAAGTATTCATGTGATCCTCAGTTTGATCCCCAGCCAATCAGCTTAGGGCATCTGTTTTAAAACTCAGGTGGCTGTGGTTGTGTGGTTTACTTCTGGGCCCTCTGTTGTATTCCATTAATTTTGCTCAAGACTGCTTTGGCTACTCAAGGTCTTTTGCTCTTCCATATGAGTTTAATATTTTTTTCTAGTTTTCTGAAGAACCTTATTAACATTTTGTTGGGGATTACATTGAATCTGTAGATCACCATCAGTATTCTACACATCCATGAGCATGGAAGGTCTTTCTGTTTCCTAAATGTCTTCAGTTTCTTCTTCAGAGTTTCATAATTTTCATTGAAAGGTCTTTTTTTCAACTTAGTTAGGAATATTCATAGACATTTTATTTTTTTTTGGTTTTTTTTTTTTTTTTTGAGACAGGGTTGACATTTTACTTTTTGAGGTTATTGTTGTCCTGATTTATTTCTTTAGTGAGCTTATTAGTATATAGAAAAGCTATTGGTTTCTATATGTTTACTTTGTATTCTGATACTGTGCTTACTTTTTAAGTTCTAAAGCTTTTGATGGAGCCTAAGGTTTTCTGAGTATAGAATCATATTTATAAGCAGAAATAATTTGACATTCTGCTTTCCTATTTATTTTTATTTTCTTTCTTTCTCTTGCCTGATTTTTCTGCTCAACATTTCAAGTACTATATGAAGTAAAGTAAAAGAGAATGGAAACTCTTTTCTAGTTGCTTTCAGTTTCCCCCTATTCAGTATGATATTGGCTATAGGTTGTATTCTAGCATTTATTTAATTTTTAAATTTTTTTTAGCATTTATTCTGTGAGGATACAGCCCTATTTTACCTCGTTTTTTTCAGGCTTATTTTATATGGGAGGATGTTGAATTTTATTGGGGGCCTTTTTTCCATATCTACTAAGGTGTTGGTGTGATTGTTTTACTATATTTATATATTGTATTTATTGAATTCTGTATGTTGAATTATATTTGCATTCTTGAAATGAAGCCAACTCTTTTCATTGATGTCACTGAATTAAGTTTTGAAGTAGTTAACAGGCTTTCTACATGTATGTTCAATAAAGGATATTGGTTTCATAGAATAAATTTGGAAGATTTTTTTCCCTTTATTTTACTTTTTTGTATATGGTATTTTGGCTGCACATATGTCTGTGAATTACATGTGTGTCTGGTGCCCATGGAAGCCAAAAGAGGGTTTTGGATCTCCTAGAACTGAAGCTGCAGACAGCTGAAAGCCATCATATAGGTACTGTGCATCAAACCTAGGTTCTCTAGAATAGCAGCCAATGCTCTTAACTGGTGAGCTATCTCTCCAGCTCTATTCTTTCTCTTTCTACTTTATGGTGTAGTCTAAGGACCATTGGTGTTAGTTTTTTTGCTTTTGTTTTTGTTTTTAAAATAATGGTTGTAGAGCATCTGTATAGCATGTGCAAAGCCCTAAATTCAATTCCCACTACCACAAACATGTCAGGATTTGTGCTTTTCTTTGATGGAAGATTTTTTTTTATACTTTCAGCCCCACTGCTTGCTATTGATTTATTTAGATTTTTCATATTGGGGGTTCAATTTTGATAGGCCATATATACAGAAATTTGTCCATTTTCTTAGACTTTCTAAATTATTGACATATTATTTTTCAAATTATTATTTCAGTTGTTTCTAGTGTAATATTCCTTTTGTCTTCTATTATTATTATTATTGCTATTTATTATTATTATTGCTGCTGCTACTACTGTTGTACTGGAAATTGAACCTGGGGCCTTGGGCAAACATTCTAATAATGGGTTATACTCTCAAGTCTCTTGTTACTTTTTAAATTTTGAAGTTAACCTATCTAGCCTTGAACTCACTCCACAGCCCAGGTAGGTCTTGAACTTGAGATCCCCCTGAGTATTTTAGGATTATAGCTCTATGCCACTCTGAGTCTTCTTTCTTTGGATTAGTTTAGCTTGTTTGTCAATTTTGTTTATCTTTTTAAAAAGTGAACTATTTCATTGATTCTTTGTATTTTTTGTGTTCTCTATTAAATTTCTACTTGATTTTTATTTTCTTTCCATTCATTAATTTTGAGTTTGGCTTGCCCTTGTTATTTTCTAAAATCTTGAGATACATTCTTAGGTATTTACATAAGATCTTATTTTTTAATATGGGCATTTATAAACTATGAGTTAAATGCACTATAGATCAAATAGACTTAATAGACTTTTACAGAATATACTATCCAACAGCAGCAGAATACATATTATCTTCATCAAATTATGGAACTTTCTCCAAGATAGATCAGGCTGGATGGCTTAAGGGTATGTTGTTCCCCATTTCAAGAGCTTTTGGTATATACAACCAGCTTAAACCACCACTAGCTCATGTTTATATGTAGCTAAGTGAGGACTCACTTCAGGCCCTCAGTCTATATAGTTTGGAGACTGGCAAATGGCCTAGCCACACACTGCATTCATGAGCATGGAGGCCAACCCATTACTGAGTTCTGAGCTGGAAATGGAGGGATGCAGGTACTAAGCAATCCACAGGTGTTGGTCTTGGCACTCTGAGCCCTAGAACCCATAGTAAAGCACATAACCATGGTCACCTTACCTTTATGTTTTATAAACCTAAAAAAAATTTATCTTCCTTTGGGCTAGAGAGATGGCTCAGAGGTTAAGAGCATTGCCTGCTCTTCCAAAGGTCCTGAGTTCGGTTCCCGGCAACCACATGGTGGCTCACAACCATCTTTAATGAGGTCTGGTTCCCTCTTCTGACCTGCAGACATACACACAGACAGAATATTGTATACATAATAAATAAATAAATATTTTAAAAAATTATCTTCCTTTTATTTCAGAAGAGGGGGGGGCATTAAACTTTACATTCAAGCCGAAGTTTGCTATGAAATTATGAAAATGTGGGTTGTATGCATTTTTCTAATTCATCAATTTACAAAATGGGACTAGAGGCCACTAATCATATCAAAAACTACTGCCAAAGACACTTGAATAAAACACAAATTATATATTAAAATAGCTTTCAACCACTTATAAATTGATTTTCTTCTGATTAGAGTTTTAGATAATTATTAATGAATTCTCCTTTTACTTTTTGACCTGTTGAAGATTGCTAAACAGAAAGAATTCAATAGAGTTGGGTATATCTTCCTTCTAGGTGCTAAGTGAAAAGGGTTGGAAATTTCTTAATTACCTTGTACCTTCTTAGTTTTATGATATCATTACTAAGAGTTGTGTTTTTCAGCCAACAACTATATGGAATCGAAGTGTCAGGCTGTCATCCAAGAACTTCGTAAGTGTTGTGCTCGATATCCCAAGGGAAGATCTCTTGTCTGCTCTGGATTAGAGAAGGAAGAAGAAAACCTGACATTGAAGTCTGGATCCAAGTAAAGTTGTACTGAGAAGTTAAATTCTGCTTCATGTTTCCCTCAAGTGTGTTTTATTTACTACCCCTTCTTCAAGCCAGGTAGCAGCAAACAGCAAATGAAAAAAATTAATTATAAGAGTTAGCAAATATGACATCTATACAAAATAGACCAAAATAACCTGTTAGAAAATAAATATGGGGGCTGGAGAGATGGCTCAGTGGTTAAGAGCATTGCCTGCTCTTCCAAAGGTCCTGAGTTCAATTCCCGGCAACCACATGGTGGCTCACAACCATCTGTAATGAGGTCTGATACCTTCTTCTGGGCTGCAGACATACAAACAGACTATTGTATACATAATAAATAAATAAATAAATAAATAAATAAATAGAAAATAAATATGTATAATGTAAAATGGAACTGCTAAAATAAACCTGTTTTACATGAAAATATTGGTTTGTTAATGAATGTATTTTAGGAGACTATTAGATACAGATATTAATGGATTCTCTTTTAATCCGTGAATTCAGACTGTTATCTGTATCTTGATCTTGCTTGCCAAATCTTGGATCTATGTTGAATATGGATAAGATACACAGAGGAATGTGTAGAAAACAATTTATTACAGAATAACCTGAAATATTCTAAAGAGTAAGTGGATAATGCCCAGAGATCATTATGCTAACATACTTGTTGAAGTAGATTGTATTCTATTCATCTTTTATGTTTTTAACTTTTATTTTTTATTGTATGTGGATAGGTATTCTGCTTACATGTGTGTCTCTATACCGTGTGTGTTGATTCTTCTGGGAGTGGAGTTACAGACAGTTGTGAGCTGCCACATGGGTACTGGGAAAAGAACTCGGGTCCTTTGAAAGAGCATCTGGTGCTTTAACCCCTGAGCTGTCTCACCAGCCCTGATTGTATACTATTTTCTAAATTTCAAGAATAGGTAGCTTTCCCAAGGGTGTTTTCCTGTCCTGGTGATTGAAAGGCACATTTGGATTAACTTGCAAGAATGAGAGAACAAAGGTGTGGCTTTGTTCTTTACCAGAAAACCCCTGGCTAGATAGTAATCTTATGATCTTCCCAACAGGTCAGAATGTAATCTACCCATGGTGCTCAGATCAGATTCTTTGAATTAGTAATCAAAGTCCCACAGTTTCATTTAGTGGTTTTACAAAGTGCTGATTATGGAAGAAGCCATGCTCAATAAACTTCAAGCCAGATAACATATAACTAGCTATTTAACAGGACAAGTGGTGTCAATGATAAAGCTTAAGTTGCATGAGGCCCTCCAGCATTAGAATTATAAGACCCTTCATAGATTACATGCTACACTATTTTAAAGTTTCTTTTAACCTAACTCAACACCAATAATTCCGTTGCCTTCCAAATGCCAGTAGGAACATTGTTTGGTTTTTTTTTTTTTTTTTTTTTTTTTTTTTTTTTTTTTTTTTTTTTTTTTTTTTTTTTTTTTTTTTTTTTTTTTTTTACATCCCTATCGCAGTGCCTAGCCACAAATACTTAATATTTCTTCAGTGTTAGGAGAAGCACATAGGTTATCCCTCACAAGGGCATCTTGGCAGTCAGGAGCAAAGGAATACCACAAAATCATACCATACAGCAAACATCACACAAGAGATTTACACGAGAGAGACACAGAATGGCAGCTGCCTCTGACCAGAAACAGACAACAATGGACTGGGTAGAGGGGCGATCTTTTGAAGGGTCTATGAAGCATGCTCAGTGAGCTAATAGAAAAGTACAGTGCAGTTATAAGTAGAGCTTGAGCATTAAGCCTGAGTCACAGGAGCAGCAAGGGGCAGGGTGAATTTCCACCTACCAGTGACTGTAAGTGTTACAGCTCTGAGGGGAAATGTTTCCCCAATACAAGTGTCGCAGCTTTGAGGGGAAATGTTTCCCCAATTCAAGTGTTACAGCTCTGAAGGAAAAGGCATCCTGGCAGTTCCGAGCCAAGGAACACCACAAAATTCCTCCACACAACAAACCTCACAACAGATTTATTGGAAAAGATATAAGAGGGTGCAACCTGATTTCTAATTGGTCTTAATAATAAAAACCCAGAGTCCGATATTACGGGGTAAAAGCTGAAAGAACAGAGAAGCAGAGAAGCCAGCCACTTGTTCTTACCTCTATGAAATCCTCAGACCAAATTGGGCCTGTCTCTACAAGTCCTCAGACTGAATGCGCTGAGCTCCTCTCTCCTCCCCGCTTATATTCCTCTCCCTGCCCAGCCATATTTCTTCCTGTCTCCACTTCCCTAGTGCTGGGATTAAAGGTGTGTGACTCCCAAGTATTGGGATTAAAGGAGTGAGCCACCACCACCTGGTTCTTTTTCTCTTTGAGACCAGATCAATCTAGTGTAGCCCAGGGTGGCCTTGAATCCACAGAGATCAGTCTGCCTCTGCCTCCAAAGTGCTGGGATTAAAAGTGTGTGCCATCACTGCTTGGCCTCTTATGGCTAAGTAGTGGGTTAGCTCTGCACTCTGATCTTAAGGCAAACTTTATTTGTTAAATCACAAATCAAATATCACCACAATAGAGTGTTGCCCTTGGTTTAGGAGCAAAGCAGCAAAGAACTAAATGGGAGGCAGACATTATATAGGGTTTCTTGGGGGCAGAGTTTCAGATTTCCAACGTAGGGATTGGTAGGACTTCAAGTCCTGATCTTGGGGCGAGCTCAGGGATTGGTGGGATTTTGAGTTCAGGTATTGGTGAGTTTTTGAGCTAAGAGATTGGTGGGTTTTCAAAACCCAGAAGTGAGCTCAGACCTTTTGCCCTATGGTTACCCTACACAGTCTTCTAATGTTCAGTGATCCCTAATTTATCATGAAGGAATGGAAAAACCCTTTCATTGCAAGTCAATGGGAAGCTTAATGAGAACTGAACCAAAGAGCTACACTGAGGCTGAATGGTTTTTATTCAAGGCATGAACTGCCAAGTTGTCTCCAAGTGAAGGGAGAGCAACCCCACAAAAAGGGGAGTTTGGAGTTTTATAGGGTGGTCTTAATTGGGTGAGAAAGCATTGTGTGAAAAGAAATTGCTGTAAGCAAAAAAAAATTTATGGATAGCAGGACACAGAGAAGCCTTTTGTTAGGAAAACAGGATGTTGTAGTCAAGCTGCTCTTCTGAGATAAGGGTCAGATGACTTTTGAGATGTGCAGAATGTTCCATTTCCATTTCTCTTGAAGGAGTCAGGCCCCACCCAGATCATCCATCTTGGTATCTTCAGCAAGTCCTTCTTGGACCAGCCTTATAGTCAGCATTGTTTGACAAAACAACTTTTCTGGTGAGATGAAATACGTGTATCTACTCAACCCAAATAAGGAGCCCATGACAGACCAAAGTTCAGATACCACCAAATTCCGACTTGGAGAACCAATGAATTTTATTGGAGTTAACTTGTAAGTAAGGAGCAGAAATTAATCAAAGGTGGCTGCATCGCCAAAGCCAAAAGCTGGGAATCTAGAGCACAATGCACAACCTACAGGCAGTTCAACAGGTTGAGTTATCTCAAGTGACTCATTTGGTCTAAACCTCTTCCAGGTCGTCCAGCTTGTTTCTGATTCTTCTAGGCAGTTGGCCTGGTCTTAGGATCTTCTTTGCAGTTTTATTGCTTACTCTGGGAGGGAGAAGCCTAGTGAATCTGGTCAATTTCAGGGACTTCCTAGAACTATTTTGAGTTGTTTAACTCCTTAAGAAGCTTCCTAGCAGGATAGAATGTTTTAATCTCAGAGGAAACTGTTAAACAACAGTCAGGCAGACTAACAAAATTAAGAATTTTAGGTAGCTTAGGTAGGCTTTATTTCTTTATAACCAAAACCCTATAGAAGATCCAAATACTATAAAAACAAAACTTCTGAAGGAAACCTTTCAATAACTGGCAGCTATTTTATATCCATTTGCTTCCCTCAAATAAGTGTTATTATTACTATTACCCCTTATATCCCCCCAAAAAAAGATGCCTTTTGGGGCTGAGGATGTAGCTCAGCTGGTAGAGTACTTGGTTAATGTATACAAGGCCCTGGGTTTGACCCTCAGCACTACGTAAACCAGGTGTAATACAAACCTGTAATCCCAGCACTTAGGTGAAGTTGGGAGTATCAGGTGGTCATCCCCAGGTACATAGAAAGTAAACTAGACTATGTGTGACCTATCTCAAAAAAAAAAAAAAAAGAAAAAATGCCTTTGTAAGAACATGAGTGTACTTCCTTGATATCCAAATAACATTAGTTGATAATAAATCTTTTTTTTTTAATTTTAAGTGTGTATGTGTTGTTATGCCCAAATCCGCAAAGTCCCTGCAAAAGCCAACAAGGTGATGGAGTCCCATATGTAAAAACAAAGAGCCTTTATTTTAATCAAGTTTGCAAACTTGGTCTCTCTGCATGTCCAGCATATTGGAATAATCGGAGAGCCCGAGCTCAATTAGAATTGGGTTTTTATAGTAGTAAAGGTGGGGGTGAGGGGTTTCTGAAGTTCAGGATCCCTGATTGGCTGACATTTGTCTAGGGGTGTCCTGTTGAATGTGCACTGGCAAGTGATCCTATCTACAGCGGTTGGAATGTTAGGAATTTCCCTTGAATGGTCTGTTCTTGGGCAGTGATTGGGTAATCTCAGCTTGTGGTTCCTCCTGCAACCAGGTATTGCTTCCTGCAGCAGTTCAGTCCCAAAGAAACACACAGAGGCTTATAGTAATTACAAAATGATTGGCCTGTTAGCTCAGGCCAAAGTGACTATCTGGCTCTGTGCTGCCTGAGAGATATTTGGTCCGCAAAGAAGGGTAACAGTTTGAAATTCTAATGAAGTAATTTAAGTGAACACTCATTAATGGGAAAAACTTTTTTTTCCCCCCGAGACAGGGTTTCTCTGTGGTTTTGGAGCCTGTCCTGGAACTAGCTCTTGTAGACCAGGCTGGTCTTGAACCCACAGAGATCCGCCTGCCTCTGCTTCCCAAGTGCTGGGATTAAAGGCGTGCGCCACCACCGCCCGGCAGGAAAAACATTTTTAATAAAGCATTTCATAATTATAATGTTTACATCATCTATGACTCTAAATTGCACTTAAAATAACATTGACAGTGATTGCTTAGGACTTATATATTACTCACAAAATCAAATAATTATTTTTTTCTGTTTTATTAGTTATGTTTACTCAATTAAGCTTTAAAAGTATACTGCCGATTGACAATAGTTTAAGAAATTCTTCACATTTCAGTTAAGTCCCTCTGATTACCAGCATTACTTTGCTTCTAACTGAGGATATGCTAAACCCTGGGGATATTTGTATTTGGTACAATTTCTTGTCACTTAGAATTCAGTATTTTTCTTACCAGTGGAGTTGACTAGAAAATGATAAATTGAGAACTAAAGTAATGAATCCTGGGGCTGACACATATTATATCATCTGTAAGTTAATTAAATTAATATTGGATGGAGTTCCCTCTTAGTTGAAAACTTCAATATAATAGATGTTTTGCCAAAGAATGTAATTCACAAAAAAATTCAGGATTATACACTGACACTTACGTAATATCATTTTACTGAATTTGTATACTTTTTATACTTTTATTTAATGAATTTCATATTAAGTATAAGATATCTTATGATAATTCTTTGGAAATTAATATTATAAGGTCAAAATTCTCATAAATCAACATCTGCCAGAATAATAAAATCTATTCAGAAAAAAAGTATACTGCCTTATTTTGAGTTTCAAAAGCTTCCAAATATTTGTTTCTTTAAACTATCCTATCTTATTTTAAGTCAACAGATCTATTAGAAGACATTGACTTAAATCTTATTCTCTTTAGCTAATATGGCACACAGTAAAATTAAATACCCAAGAGAGAAGGCTTAACCATTACAGAATACTTTTTATGTAACACTGATCAAGACTAACACTGAAACATAGTCGTCAGGGAAGAACTCTTGTGATAACTATGATCTCATCTCTCATTTTGAAAATACAAAACTCTCCAAGTAGCTATTAGTGATGTTAAGTATAATCATTTGGTTTGTGATTGAAAGACTTTATCAAAGAAGTACTTTTCAACAGCAATGGGTAAAGCAATTGTAGGGTAATATTTGGGCAGCAAGTCAACAGTCTATTGCTCTACAGCCTTTTATTTAGTATTTTCAGGTTATACTGATGGCAAAAAAATTCCCTTTTCCATTTTGCTGTAATACACCTTTCTTCTTACAATGTAAGTCAGTAAAGTGTGATATTATATTTGTATTTAGTAAGCAGAAATCATTTCCAGTTAGCTTTAAAATAAAATTTAAAAAATATTTACTTGTTAACAGAATTCTAATTTTATTAGCACCAAGTTCCAACTCCTTCAGTGGTTCTGTCTTTACTACTCATCAAGAAAATCTGGGATGTGTGAAGCCTCAACCTACCACAATGGCATCCTGAACCAGTGAAGTCAAAATCCCTACAACAAGAGCCACAAGCCAACATTTAAAATTATGCAGATGATTTCCTTGTGTAAGCAAGGATTAGAACTGATGCTCTTAGTAATCACATAATTTCTTAACATTTTAATATTGGAAAAGATAGACAGTTTTAATACAGCAAAATGTGAAAAGAGGCACTAGGAACAAAAAGGGGTGGGGAGATGGAAAAGCAAAAAAGAAGGAAGCCTAGCTTTTCTTCAAATTCTACATCTCTTAAGAAGGATAAAAGCATCAAAGATCTGAACAACACTGCATGATTTCTGGGAAATCAGGTCCAGAACTAAAATTTTTCTCCCAACACCCCGTGGTAATCTGATTAACTGAACAGAAAACCTATTATAAATAGTCTATTTCACAAAATAAGTTCTTCCCATGAGAAAAAGAAAGGAAACTGCTAGTTTAGCCAGGAGTTTCATATTCCTGCAGGGATAGCTGGATGAACACTTTTCTCTTAGGTGAAACAAAACTGATGGCACACAAAAATTTCAAATTCATTTGTATATCACCTTTTCAGGAAGAGATTTCTAATGCTTTCCAAACTGGAAAAGTATAGCTTTCAAATAAGAGCTTAACCCTTAGATATGTCAAACTTTCTGGCAAATATGAAAGAAGAATAAAGAAAACATTCTTAATAATTAACAACAGAAGACATCTATCTTCAAAAACCATAAGTACACACATTAAAACTATAATAACTGGAGCCGGGCGGTGGTGGTGCACGCCTTTAATCCCAGCACTCGGGAGGCAGAGGCAGGCAGATCTCTGTGAGTTCGAGACCAGCCTGGTCTACAAGAGCTAGTTACAGGACAGGCTCCAAAGCCACAGAGAAACCCTGTCTCGAAAAACCAAAAAAAAAAAAAAAAACAAACCTATAATAACTGAATTACATTCTCATTCTTTGATGAATCATTCATTATATTCTTCCACTTGAATTATATATGATCTGTACTATGGTACAATGATCTTGTATCCTGTAAAGATTTGTCACTTGTATTGATTTAATGAAATGCTGATTGACCAGTGGCCAGGCAGAAAGTATAGGCAGGGTGACCAGAATAGGAGAAATCCAGAGAATCATTAGGTCATAATACAAAATCCTGTACTCCACAAAATAGGAAAGAGGGAAAGAAATGGACAATTTTCTGCATAGATACCATATACCAAAATTAAATCAAGACCAGGTGAAAACTTAAATAGACTTATAAACTGTAAGGAAATAGCAGCTGTCACTACCTATCCAAGATCATGGGGGATCTTTCCATTTTCTGGTATTATCTTCAATTTCCTTCTTCAAAGACTTGCAATCCTACCAAAGGCAATATATAGATTCAATGCAATCCCCATCAAAATCACAACAAAATTCTTCACAGACCTTGAGAGAACAATAATCAACTTTTATATGGAAAAACAAAAAAGCCCAGGATAGCCAAAACAATACTATACAATAAAGGAACTTCCAGAGGCATTACCATACCTGACATCAAACTCTATTACAGAGCTACAGTAATAAAAACGGCTTGGTATTGGCATAAAAAAAAGACGCTGACCAATGGAATCGAATTGAAGATGTGGATATTAATCCATACACTTATGAACACTTGATTTTTGACAAAGAAGCTAAAATTATACAATGGAAGAAAGAAAACATCTTCAACAAATGGTGCTGGCATAATTGGATGTCAACATGTAGAAGAATGAAAATAGATCCATATCTATCACCATGCACTACACTCAGTACAAATGGATTAAAGACCTCAATATAAATCTGACCACACTGAACCTAATAGAAGAGAAAGTAGGAAGTAGCCTGCAATCCATGGGCATAGGAGACCACTTCCTACATATAACCCCAGTAGCACAGGCAATAAGAGTAACAATAAATAAATGGGACCTCCTGCAACTGAGAAGCTTCTGTAAAGCAAAGGACACAGTCAATAAAACAAAAAGGTAACCTACTGAATGGGAGATAATCACCAACCCCACATCAGACAAAGGACTGATCTCCAAAATATATAAAGAACTCAGGAAACTAGACATTACTACTCTAAATAACCCAATTAAAAAATGAGGTACTCTTGTAGGAGCTGTGGGCCGCGTTCCTGCTGCCCCAGCTCCTGGTCGCCTGGCTAGCTTAGGCCCCGAAATAACAACACACAAACTGTATTCTTTTAAACACTGCTTGGCCCACTAGCTCTAGCCTCTTACGGGCTAATTCTCATATTTTGCCTAACCCATTTCTAATAATGTGAGTAGCACCACTAGGTGCGCTTACTGGGAAAGATTCAGCATGTCTGACCTGGCGGCTGGCTGCATCGTGTCTGCCCAGGAGAGGGGAGCATGGCCTCTGAGCTCACTTCCTCTTTCTCCCAGCATTCTGTTCTGTTTACTCCTCCCACCTATGTTTTAACCTATGAGGGCCAAGCAGTTTTTTTATTTTTTAACCAATGACCTTCCTCCATCAAGGTACAGAATTAAACAGATAATTCTCAACAGAAGAATTTTAAATGGCCAAAAGATACTTAAGGACATGTTCAACTTCCTTAGCTATCACGGAAATACAAATCAAAACAACTCTGAGATACCATCTTACACCTGTCAGAACGGCTAAAATAAAAAACACCAATGATAGCTTATGCTGGAGAGGATGTGGAGTAAGGGGAACACTCATCCAATGCTGGTGGGAATGCAAACTTGTACAAACACAGTATGGTGGTTTCTCAGAAAATTGGGAATCAACCTATCTCAGGATCCAGCAATACCTCTTTTGGGAATATACCCAAGAGATGCCCAATCATATTACAAAAGCATTTGTTCAACTATGTTCATAGCATCATTATTTGTATTAGCCAGAACCTGGAAACAACCTAGATGCCTCTCAATGGAAGAATAGATAGAGTGTGGCACATCTACACATTAGAGTACTACTCAGCGGTAAAAAACAATGGCATCTTGAATTTTGCATGCAAATGGATGGAAGTAGAAAGCACTATTCTGAGTGAGATAACCCATACCCAAAAAGATAAATATGGTATGTACTCATTCATTAGTGGATTCTAGCCATAAACAAAGGACATTGTTCATGATCCATAAACAAAGGATATAGTTCACAATCCTAGAGAAAGTAAGTAATAGTGTGAACCCAAAGAAAAACTTATATAGATCCACCTGGAAATTGGAAGCAGACAAGATTGCCAGGCAAAAGTTGGGAGTATGGGGGTGGGGGTTGGGAGAGGAAGGCGAGAGGGAGAGAGAGAAGGGAGAAGGGGAGAGCTTGGGGGAATGGGATGGTTGAGATGGAGGAAGGATGGATATGGGAGCAGGGAAGAAGATATCTTAATTAAGGGAGCCATTTGGGGGTTGGCAAGAGGCTTGACTCTAGAGGGGTTCCGAGGTGTCCATGAGGATGTCTCTAGCTAGGACCCTGGGCAGTGGAGGAGAGGGTGCCTGAACTGGTCTTGTCCCATAGTCACACTGATGACTATCTTGAATATCACCATAGAACCTTCATCTGGTGATGGATGGAAATAGAGACAGAGACCCACATTGGAGCACTGGACTGAGCTCCCAAAGTCCAGTTGAAGAGCAGGAGGGAGAAGATGAGCAAGGAAGTCAGGACCGCGAGGGGTTGGTCCACCCACTGAGACGGTGTACCTGAGCTACTGGGAGCTCACCAAATCCAGCTGGACTGGGATTGAACGAGCATGGGATCAAACTGGACTCTCTGAATGTGGCTGACAATGGGGGCTGATCGAGAAGCCAATGATAATGGCACTGGGATTTGTCTCTAATGCATGTACTGGACTTTTGGGATCCTAGTCTATTTGGATGCACACCTTCCTAAGCCCGGATGGAGCGGGGAGGGCCTTGGACTTCCCACAGGGCAGGTTGCCTTGCCCTCTTTTAGGGCTGGAGGGGAGTGGGAGGGAAGTGGGAGGAGGGGAAGAACTGGGAATTTTGATTGGTATTTTTTTTTAAATAATGATAATAAAAAGAAACCTGGGTCCCAGGAATCCACAAGGATGACCCCAGCTAAGACCCTAAGCAATAGGAGAGAGGGTGCCCGAACTGTTCTTGCCCTGTAGTCAGACTGATAAATATCTTAAATATCACCATAGAACCTTCATCCAGTAACTGATGGAAACAGAGGCAGAGACCCACAAAGGACACTGGACTGAGCTCCCAAAGTCCAGCTGAAGAGTGGGAGGAGTGAAATTATGAGCAAAAAGGTCAAGACTATGATGTGTACACCCACTGAAACAGTTTACCTGAGCTAACGGGCGTTCACCAAGGCCAGCCAGACTGGGAAAGAACAAGTATAGGACCAGACTAGTCCCTCTGAATATGGTTGACAGTTTCATGGCTGGGGCAGATTGAGGGACCATTGGCAGTGGTATCAGGATTTATCCCTACTTCTTGTACTGACTTTTGGGGACCTATTCTCTTTGGATGTATACCTTGCTCACCCTAGATATAGTAGGGAGCGTCTTTGACCTTCCCCAAAGCAATGTGCCTTACCTTCTCTGAGGAATAGATGGGGGTGGGGAGGTAAGTGGAAGAAATAGGAGAAGGGGAGAGAGTTAGAACTTAGACTGGTGAAAAAAGATAGTTTGTTCTCTCTCTCTCTCTCTCTTTTTTTTTTTTTGGTTTTTCGAGACAGGGTTTCTCTGTGGTTTTGGAGCCTGTCCTGGAACTAGCTCTTGTAGACCAGGCTGGTCTCGAACTCACAGAGATCCGCCTGCCTCTGCCTCCCGAGTGCTGGGATTAAAGGCATGCGCCACCACTGTCCGGCTGTTCTCTTTAAAAAAAAAAAAATAAAACGGAAAAATGGTAATAAGAAAAAAGAATTAGTCAATAAGAAGTTTTAGTTAATGGGACAACCAGTTTATAATTAATGCAGATCTCTGTTTCTTTGGGACTGAACGGCTACAGGACTGGAAGGAACAAAACTTCTGTCAACAGGGGAGGGGAATCTTGTTAGCATATTATCAGAATGATAACAGAGCAATGAGTGGGTGACTCTTACACAGGTAGGCAACCCTTGGGTTTCTGGTTAAAAAAAAAAAAAGGATTTCACAGAGCCTTGGCTAGAGTGAAAATTTTGGAATCTATCTGTTGAGCAGAGGCAAGCCAGAAAAAAAGTGCCTCTGCCATGACCCCTTGACCTTCTGTCTGATGGAGAATATCATAAACATTAAAATTCTGAAGCAGTATCCTCATGCTATCCTGTCTGTCATGGAACACACACTTGGTCAAAGGGTTGTCCAGAGTAGTAAGGATGAAGGACATGGCCAGAGCCCCTGAGGGGGATCAGAAGTGAACTAGGGACTATAGGGAACTGATGGAATGCGGTGTTCCTGCATTTCTTCTAGGGGAAACATCATGTTTCTCAGTACCTTATATATTGACAATGTTTAACTTCTCCATCAAAGAAAATCAGTTCTATCACCTCTGGTAAAGAGGTTATCATGTTAATTGACTCTGATTACTTGAAACAAATCATGTGCCCTGACAAACATGTCTTGTTTATCAAATGAAAACAAATGCATTCAATGCTGTAAACTGCCTAACCCCTGATATCATTTAGGTCATGCATAGAATGACAGCTAATTTTTTTCAGAAAACTTAAATCTCCCATTTAAAGCCAGGCCTTCTTGGCTCTATTTTTCTTGCAATGCTGGGGATTGAACCCAGGGCCTCACACATACTAGGCAAATGCTCTATCATTGAGCTACATCCTCAGTAATATCCCATTTAAGATGAAGCAAAGATGCCAACACTATGAGGCATCAGTAGGGGTTCCCAAAATGTTTGCAGCTACTTCAGTGACTACTGAGTTAACTGGAACTTGAAGTGTGCACATTGTGACTAATCCTCTTCTGCACCAGCTCTACACAAACAGAAGTGACCACATGGACCCTAACCAAACTTCAGGATAGACTTATAGTCCTTATTTTCAGACAATGAGTGTAAAATCTAAGTCTAGACCATTACCTATTACAATCTTTCAAAGGAACTCCAACCTGCTAATCTTTATTATACTCACCAATAATTACAAAGAAAGCAGATGGACCAGAAGTCAGTTACTAGCTCACCAGAGAAGTAGTAGATGACCACTCCCCATTACATACCCAAAGGGGCATTGCAATAGCTTGTGCTGTCACCATACCATTGATGTGGGTAAGACATGGGGAAAGTGACAGCTACAGTCAGAATAAATGGCATACATAACTCAAAGAAGGATACAGGTAAAAGAGATGATGACTCACAGTTATCAATAAATATACTAGACACACAAAAATTACCTAAAACAATGTATGTGTTTGATACTAAAAGATTGATATTAAAATTTTCTAAAATAATGAGGTATTATACCTATGATATTTTTAAAAGCTTTAGTGTTAAAGATATTGGAAACAATAAAATGACTGGTATTTTACAATAATTGACAAAACAAATATAATTTCATGATTGCTATAGGCAAACAATTGATACTTTGGGAAATCACAGTACTATATTCTTTTATGTTTCCACAATAAATAGTGAAAAATCATTTTTAAATTCTTTTAGAAAAATATGTACCAAGGAGAGTTATACCACCATGTAAAAGGATGATTAATACATATTACAAATAGAATAACTTATATTGGCTTAAGTAATATCAAAATGTAATAAGGAAATACAAATAGGTGAATCTTAATCAGTTTTACACATCCACTGGTAATTTCAATCTTACAATTCAATACATCATTGTCAAGGTATGTCAAAAAGTAATTATGTTTAATGTATGACCTTAAAAGCACACTATTACACATGGGTTCATCTACATATCTAAGAATTCACTTGCATTAAACTAAAACTTTAACAGGGGAGTTTTCCTTATACAAATAAATATATTCAATAAATATTTGAAATTTATTAAGTAGTAAGTCCTGTGGGTTGTAAGGAGCTGCGGGCTATGTTCCTGCCACCCCAGCTCCCGGCCGCCTGACTAGCTTATGCCCCAAAATAATTACACGGAAACTGTATTCTTTTAAACACTGCTTGGCCCATTAGTTTTAGACTCTTACTGGCTAACTCTCACATCTTGCTTTAACCCATTTCTAATAATGTGTGTAGCACCACGAGTGGCTAACCAGGGAAGATCTTAACCTGCATCTGTGTCGGATGGGAGAATCATGGCGACTGTCTGAAGCGGCTTCTTTCTCCCAGCATTCTGTTCTGTTTACTCCACCTACCTAATTTTCTATCCTATTAAAGGGTCAAGGCAGTTTCTTTATTGATTAACCAATGAAACAACAGATTGACAAATGACCTTCCCATATCAGTAGGTGCAATGAAGATGGAAGAAAGCTTTTGGAAGATGATTTCCTAGTTGGAATTGAGAACATGGTAACAGCCATTATAGCAAAATCTGAAGTGCACACAGACTTTTATTTTAAAGAATAATTCTGATAGAGATTGCCTTTGATGGAAACAATTTATTTCACATATGGTATCGTTGTCTTTCTAAATTCTGAATATGTGGAACATCTCTTTAAAATTCTGGCTTATATGTTATATTTCATACTAACTGAATAAAGAAACAGTACTTCCATAGAAGAATACTGCTACCCCTAATACTTTAACAAAATTTCAAACCACAGAAAATTTTCTATGAAATACACATCTAACAGTTTCTTCTTTCTCCCACATAAATTACTTGAAAACAGCCATGAGATGCAGTATGTGGTAATGGTGGAAAACATTTCTGGACTGGATTTTAAAACCTACAAATGACTCGTCTGACCATCCAACAATGAATTTCTAGCAATTGGTTTCCATAAAGACCCACCTACCAAGTCCAATACCTATATCACTTCATACATCTTTAGCAGAAGTTCATTTCATAGTCAATCTTTTTAGTCATAGTACTTATACTATCATATTGGCAGGATAATTATAGCATGTATAAGTACCTCTCTTTCTATAATCTAAAGTCAACTAAAAAAGAAAGCACACACCAAGATACCAAGATCTTTCATGCTTAAAGGCAACTGTATTCATTCCTTTCCATGTATATACTAAGGTAAGTATATGCTGCTTTTCCAAACCAAGTTTGGAAAAGTATCTTACATAGCAGAAGGGAATATTTTTTCTTTTCTTTTTCACTTTTTTATTGTTTTTACTGCATTATACATTTTTCTCTACCCTCCTCCATACCTCCCCTCTTTCCCTTTTACCCTCTGCCATGACCCCCGTGCTCCCAATTTACTCAGGATATCTTGTCTTTTTCTCAAAAGGAAACATTTTTACTAAGCTACTCATTGATCAAGTCATGAGGCATATACTGGGAGAGTCAACATCTATTGTCTTTTCCAACATGTCAAACTTATGAGAAGGCCTGTATTAACTTTGTACCAGGAGAAGCCTATGGAAGCCATTCAGATTTGCCACAACAGGGAGAAAGGTACAGGACAAGAGGAGCAAGAGGAGTGCTGATTGTCCTATGTTTAAGTGCAGAAGGTGCTGGCAAGAAAAAAGAAGAAATAAAAAACAATGGAGTAAAGTTGTATTTCTTATGATGCCATGCCAAGCAAAAAGCCTCCAAAAAATCCTCCAGTTACTAGAACATTCTTCTTTACAAATGACACAACCTGAAAAACAGAAGATTTTGATACAATGAGTTATTTTCCTAAGGATGCTGATCATTTCCATTACTGACAACTATAGGAAAAGTCTTATTTCCTTATTTTCCTAAGCTCCTACCTCCCCTACACCTTCCTGAAAAAGTTTCTACTCATCTGAAGTTTGGTGCACATATGGATAGGTACCCTGTATGGTTTTCTTATCAATTTATTATCTCTTCTGGCCACTTCCCTTACAAAGTAAATGAGAAATAATATATCCTACATCCTGACTTAATCATTTCTTTTTGTTTTTGCATTATGCAGTATGTGTGTGTTTGTGTGTGTGTATTTGTAGTACATGAACATGTATGCACATGTGCATGTACATATGAAGGGCCAATATTGATAGGTGTCTTCCTAGATGACTCCCACCTTATATATTGAGGCAGGCTGTCTTGCTGAACCTAGAGATTGCCATTTGGGCTAGTCTGGCTAGCCAGCTTGCTCTGGTGATTTTGCAATAGCCTTGAGACTGAAGGCAGGCCACACTGGCATTTACATGAGCGCTGGGGATCTAAAACTCTGGTCTTTAGATTTGCATGGTAATCACTTTACCAACTAAGCCATATCCCTGGTATAGTCAAATCATTTCTTGAACTTAAGCACCGTGTCTTCATTTCCCAATTGAGTAAGCCATTTGCAACATTACATTCCCATCACTCTGTCCATTCTCCTTGCACCATTATGCAAAGTCAACAGTATCTCTTCACTACCACTGTATCTAGAGATCTTGATTAGCTTTAACTGTCAACTTGAGACAACCTCCAATTATCTGAGAAGAGAATATCTCAATTAAAAAATTGTCTAAATAAACAGTTCTCAACCTGTGGTTCACAAGTCACCCAAGACCATAAGAAAACACAGATATTTACATTAGAATTCATAACAGTAGCAAAATCATTATGAAGCAGCAGCAAAAATAATTTTATGGTTGGAGGTCACCACAACATGAGGAATTATATTAAAGGGTCGCAGCATTAGGATTAATCTGGGCACGTGTGTAGGGGAGGGCCCACCATACTGTGGGCGGCACTGTTCCCTAGGCAGGTGATCTTGAACTGTATAAGAAAGCTAATTGGCATAAGCCTGTCTGCCAACCAGCAAACAGCATTCTCTGTGGGTCTTTTCACATGCTCTTTGGCTGTGAATTAAATTCCTTAGTCAGAGGTAATGCTGTATGGGATAGAAAGCAGGCAGCAAAGATACATTTGTTTCCTCTTTGTATTTAGCTGCCCAAGTTCCAGCCTTGATTCTCCCTTAATAATGACCTGAACCTGGAACTGTAAATTGGATAAATCCTTTCCTCCCCTAGGCTGCTTTTGGTCAGAATATCTTATCCCAGAAACAAAAATGAAGCTAGGCCATTATGTCTCCTTGCCCTACTTCCACTTAACTCTCCAGGATTTCCACATTTATTTAAACAAAGTACTATCAGAGGGAAACAAAAAAATCTCACTTACATTATTTTATATGTATATCTGGGGAGATATGTATATATGAGTACACATTCATGTGTATAGAGGCCTCATACCATCTATGGCTATTTTCACTCTCTATGAGGAAGTCTGATTGTTGTGACAGAGACCATAACTCAAAAACTGAAAATATTTACTACCTGGCTATCTTCAGAAAAAGTCTGCCAACCCAATATTTAAGTATTTCTATTAGTCATGTGCAGAACTCATGGAGTTTGCATATTTCAAAGATAAGCAGGAATAGAGATAAAAATGTAACTCAAAATGTTCACATTGGCAGTACACCCCACCCATTATGGTACACCTATTCCTATAAGAACTAGTTAACATGCCAGGCCTTCAATCCCAGCATTTTGTGGCAGAGACAGGCAGATCTCTGTGAGTTCAGGGCCAGCTTGGTCTACAGAGTGAGCTCCAGAACAATCAGGACTGTTAGACAGAGAAACCCTGTCTCAAAGAACAACAGCAACAAAAAACTTTTTAACACAACTACTATCTTCATTTCCTTTGTTTTCTCACCCAGACAAAGGTCACCAAATATTTGGATTACTAAGGTTTACAAGTGACTGGAGAGACAGTTTAGTAGTTAAGAACACTGGCTGTTCTTCCAGAGGACCTGGGTTCAATTCCTAGCAACCACGTGGCAGCTCACAACCACCTGTAACTCCAGCTCTAGAGGACCTAATGCCTTCTTCTTGCCCCTATAAGCACTAGGTATGCACATGGTGTATAGATATACATGTAGGCAAAACACCCATACACATAAAAAAAATAAAGTAAAATCTTTTTAAATAAAAAATGCCTTCATGAGAGTGAGGTAGCACATGCTAGGTATCGCAGAACTCGAGAAGTTGAGACAGAAATTTAAGACATTGTCCCCTGAAAACTGTTTCTACAGTAATGGTATTCTAAGACTGACATACCGAATATAGCTTTTGTCTCACTGCTCCAAGTTCTTTGTAATTATAAAGCTTTTTATACTGCTGAGACAGTTATGTGTTCCATATTTTCTTTTTAAATTTTATTTAAATAACACTTTTTCCTTTTATTTTACATACTGACTGTTTCTCCTCCCTTCTCGCCTACCAGTACCCCCTTTCCATTTACCTCCCTCCCCTTCTACTCTTTTCTACTCTTCCTCTATCTCCAATCTCCATTCAAAAAGTGACAGGCCTGCCATGGGCTTAAGTAAAGCATGGCACATCAATTTGTGGCAGGACAAGTTCCTCCCCTTCTGTCAAGGCTGGGCAAGGTAATCCTGCATGGATAACAGGTTCCCAAAAGCCAGCAAAGCACCAGGGAGAGGTCCTGATACCACTGCTAGGAGCCTTACAAAGAGACCAACCTATACAACTGTCACACACATGCAGAGGGCTAGGTCAGTCCCATGGAGGCTCCTGACTATTGGTCCAGAGTCCATGAGCTCCCAAGAGCTGAGGTCAGCTGTTTCTGTGGGTTCTCCAACATGACCCCCTGGCTCAAATAATCTCTCCTCTCATTCTTCAGCAAGATGCCCAGAGCTTGGCCCAATGTTTGGCTGTGGATCTCTGCACCTGCTTCCATCAGTTACTGAATAAAGTGTCTCTGACAACAATTAGGGTATTCATCAATCTGATTACAGTAGATGGCCAATTCAGGCACTCTCTCCACCACTCCTATGAGTCTTAGCTGGAGTTATCTTTGGTGTGGGACAATTGTCTGTATTGTGTCAACTGTATTTTAAATAAATGCTGATTGGTCAGTAGCCAGGCAGGAAGTATAGGTGGGACAACCAGACAGGAAGTAGAGGCAGGTCAATGAGAACAGGAGAATTCTGGGAAGAAGAAAGCCCATTCCTCAGCAGTCCTGGCCCAGCCACAGAAGAAGCAAGATGTGACTGCCTCGCTGAATAAGGTACTGAGCCATATGACTAACATAGACAAGAATAATGGGCTAAATAAGTTATAAGAGTTAATAAGAAGCCTGAGCTAATGGGCCAATCAGTTTATAACTAATGTAGTGTGATTTCTTTGGGACTTAATGACTATGGGAACTGGGCAGGACAAAAACCCCCGACAACAATCTTTGTGGATTCCTGAAGGTTTCCCTAGCACCAGGTTTCTCCCCAAACCCAAAATGCCTCCCATCAAGAAGCTTCTTTCGTTACTCTTCCCCTCCATCCTACCTCCAACCTGCCTCTTACACCCAGCCCACCCAAACCACTCCCTCAAGTTCTCATCCCTCCATCTCACCTCCCCTGCCTTATATCCCATTTTGTACACAAAACTGTTTGTACTTTTCATATACTAAATCTGAACAAAGCAAGTCTTACCTCCTCAGCTTTGCTCTTGACCTCAGTTGGTATTTGGTTATTCTTACGAATCTTCAACTGCTCTTTGGCTTTTTTCATGTCTTTCTCTACTCGTTGCCAGTCAACTTTGATATACCCAGTATGGTTTGCCAGCTACAATTTTAACAGTGATAAAAGGAAATAAAAAACATGGTCTTTGGTATCCTTTTTTTCAAGATAAATTATGAAAGAGGTAATCAAAACTCTTCTGATTTTCTATTTTTAGAGACATTTGCTATTTTTTTTTAATAATCTTCAGGCAAGATATTTTATATTCAAGGTTCAAAATACTATATTCAAGGTCCCATGCCTAGTAATGGAAATAAACAATTGTCTCCAATTGCTGGCAATTCTTTAATGTACCTGCTGAGCTTTCCTTTATATAGTTTTAAGTGAGATTTAAAAATAAGATGATTAAACTCAAAGTAGTAAGTTCAATTTTTCAGAAATTAAAAAAAATAAACATTTTTTTCAAGGAATTATGTATAGAATGAAATTGATTCAAGCCAGGTGGTGGTGGCACATATCTTTAATCCCAGCACTTGGGAGGCAGAGGCAGGCGGATCTCTGTGAGTTCAATGCCAGGTAATCTCCAAACACTTCAAAGACCAAGAGAATATGGCATTAAAATGTTTTAATAACTTAGAGTTGTCTTGACATGAGATGTGTCTGCTCCTGGCAGCATCAATTACTTCAAAGAGGATGAGGGGAAACAAAGAAACTCATTATTGAGTTTGTTTTTAATGTAGCAAGGCTAGCCCTTTGGGCAAAATCTGTTCTTGCCTACACTGCTTGACAATATGCTGTATAAACTGGACATGAAGAACCCACAGGAAAAAAATGACTGCTAAACTTTGCCAAAACAAGGTAGGATGCTCCTTCAGGGTTCCTGCTTCACAGAGAAACTGCCAGACATTCTGCAGGACACAGAGGAAACCGATTGACGAACTTTGCTAAATAGGCGAGACAGTCCTTCAAACTTCTTGCTTCACTGAAAAGTCTGCTAGATACTTTAGGCCTGTAAGCTAAAGATGGATGACCCATTGTTACAGAAGAACTTTGGGCGACTGTCCAGACAGCCAGATGTCTATGTCATTTCTAGAGTTTTGGAAGTTGCTTGCAATGGACTTCTTGTTTACTCAGGTAATATATCCTTCTAGGGATCTTTGATGGAGTTAAAGACTAGATAGTTATAATTATAGTTTTTTCTTAGTTATGATAAAAGACAAATTATATAAAACTTTAGATAGGATAGTTGATAGAGTATTTTCTTAATTTTTTCAAATTCAAATAGACTAAATAATGTAACTATAATTCTTGCTTGATAACTGTTTTGTTATATGTAATTTTACTGTTAAAGTTAAAACATTACTTTTTGATTATATAGAAAGGGGAAATGATATGGGATGTCTTTCTGTAGACTATATATATATATGTGTTGTTCTCATTGGTTGATAAATAAAGCTCCATGGCTTATGGCAAGGCAGGATAGAGCCAAGTGGGAAATTCTAGAAGGGATACAGGAGAAGAAGGCAAAGCCTGAGAGACACCATCCAGCTACCCAAGGAACAACACACCATAGCACCACCAGTAAGCCACAGGTCACATGGCAATACACAGATTAATTGAAATGGGTTAATTTAAATGTAAGGGCCAGTTAGTAATAAGCCTGAGCCATTGGCTAAACATTTATAATTAATATTAAGCCTCAGAGTGGTTATTCTGGAACTGGCAGGCAGGAGAGAAACCTCCAGTGGTTAGCAGCATTCAAAACAGTATACAAAAACAAATGTGTATGCTATTTTAGGGCATTATAGCCAAAGTTGCAATTTCTCACAATATGTTAATAGGCAAGAGGAATTTCCAAACATCTAGGAAACTTAATAGACAAACCTGAAGTAGAAAGAATCCACCTCCTACAGCTGTTGCAGCCAATTTTCCAACTTTCTGGAATATGAAACCAGTGCACCTGTAAAACCAAACCAATATCAGACAAAGTGACAGGCTGTCAGATGCACACAAATCTGAACTGACAATGCTCATATTCTACATACCTTGAGATGATTTAGTTCCTTCTTACCATCTAGAGAAACAGAAAGCCATGCTAGCCTCCAGGCTCCTTACAGTCCCTATTGAAAAATACCCATTATACATTTCAAAGTCCACACTAGCATCCTGGCCCATCTCGCCTTGCCCTCTACCTTAAACCTCTAGGCTGTTTCAGTTAGCATGTTTTCCTCCTCTTGGACACCCTTTTGTTCTCTATACAGACCAGGTTTTCACTTGTTCTTACTATTCCCACTGTTCTATTTTCTTTCCCTGCCATCTCTGCTACTCTCTTTTGCTATTCCCCGCTATTTTTCCTTCTCTTGCAGATATGACCATGTCCAATCTGCTTCTTTTTCTCTTGGTTTTAGATTCTTTCAGATGGCTCTAGATGTTCTTTCTCTTTCTTATCCACAATAAAAATCTCCCCCACTGCCAACCACTGAGCGGCCATTCCAGTGGTTTCTTTACTGCATCCCTCACATATATCAAGAATGTACGCATTTAACATCATATGAAGCTTGTAAATTAAAAATATACATACAAGCTGGGCATACTGGGGTACACCTTTTATCCCAGTACTCAGAAGGCAGAGGCAAGTGAATCTCTGTGGGTTTCAGGCCAACCTGGTCTACATAGAGAGTTCCAAACAGCCAGCGCTATGTAGAGAGACCCTGCCTCAAAAAAATATATTCAAATAGTCTAAACACTCTATTCAAAAGGAAGAGATTTTAAACTGAATTTTTAAAAGATTCAGGCTGAGGAGATAGTTTACTGAATAAAGTACTTGCTATATATACATGAGGACTTGAGTTCAAATCCATAGAACCTATATAAATCTGGGTGTTTTAAAAGAGTAAAATCTATATGCTACAAAAAACCTAATTTAAATAAAAGACTCCATAAGTGACAAGTGGGAAATCCATTCATGTGTTTCTGCTGGCTGCTGCCCTGTGTGCTTCTTTTCTTGCCTGATTATTGTTGTGAAGTTGTAACCCTAAGTGGGACCACTCTGAATTCTATAAATCTTCCCAGAGCACTGATTTTCAACCTTTCTGATGCTGTGATTCTTTAATAGTTCTTCATGTTGTACTTACCCACCATAACATCATTTTCATTGCTATTTCATAATTGTAATTTTGCTACTGATATGAATCATAATGTAATTATCTATTTTCCACTGGTCTTAGGCAACCTCTATAAAAGGTTATTCTCCTCGTGGTGCTACACACATTAATAAAAATGGGCCAAGCAGTGTTTATATGAATACAGTTTCCGTGTAATTATTTTGGAGCATAAGCTAGCCAGGCGGCCGGGAACTGGGTGGCAGGAACACAGCCCACAGCTCCTTCAACAGGAAGGGGCAAGAGGAGAGGAGGGAGGAGAAACTGCAGTCAGTGTATAAAATAAATGAAAAAATTAAATTAATAAAAATAAGTGTTGTTCTATTCCCAAAGAGGTTATGACCCACAAGTTGAGAACCACTGTCCTAAAGGATTATCAAACACAAAAATATCTTGAGGACTCCAAAACTCTGCAACCCAATAAAATGACTTTAGGAAATTGAATTTCTATTTATAAGTAATGAATAACAGAAAATGAAATTTGAAGCTACCATAGCATCAACATATGAAATATTTACAAGTATTTGGAAATCTATGTTGACCATATATTGTGATATATTGATTGTATATCAATAGACTATATAACCTACAAAGCTGAAAAAAATCAAAGAAAATAAAGCCATAGTGATTAGAATAATATGATACTGGCACCAAGACAAATCAATTTTTAAATGAATTATTTTTATTTTTTAAGTGTTTTATTTTGCGGTGTGTGTATGTATTATGTGCACATGTTTACATATGTGTGCACATGTGTAGCTTGCCATAGCATACATGTAGAAGTCAGAGGACAACTTGTACAAGTCGGATCTCTCTTCCTATCATGTGGATCCCTGAGATTGAACTCAGGTCCTCAGGCTTAATGGTAAGTGCATTTACCCACTAAGCTGATATGGTCAAAAGACATATCAATTTAATGCACAGATGATAAATTGATTTTTAATACAATATAATGGGGATGTTCTATCAGGAACTCACCAAGGACAGCTGGTCTGGGTCTGAAAAAGCCCAGGTTAAAACCAGACTTGCTGAACATAGTGGACAATGAGGACTACTGAGAACTCAAGAACAATGGCAATGGGTTTTTGATCCTACTGCACGTACTGGCTTTGTGGGAGCCTAGGCAGTTTGGATGCTCACCTTACTAGACCTGGATGGAGGTGGGTGGTCCTTGGACTTCCCACAGGGCAGGGAACCCTGATTGCTCTTTGGGCTGANGGGGAGGAGGCAGAAATCTTAAATAAATAGATAAATAAAAAATAAAAAAAAAGACATGGAATTAAAGCACACCTGTTCCCTTTTCATGTTTTATGTTTAGATTGTTTCTACTTTCAGGTATTACAAATAAAACTAGAACATCTGTATGAAAATTTTTGTATAAAGCATCTGCTTTCCTTTATATTGTTTAAGTGCCAATGAATAGTATGCCTGAGGCATATTACAAGTGTGGAGGTATACAACACTACTTGGGAGACAGAGGAAAGAACATCACAAGTTCTGGGCCATGCTGAACCATAGACCCCTTTGGAAAAGAAAACAAAACCAAAACGCACACAAAAAAAGCCTCTTAAAACTCAATACTACAAAAAAAAAAAAAGACAATTTCACAGGGAGAAAAACATGAATTTAATAAAAGACAAAATTTAAGTGATAAATATGTTTCTAAGATTGATGGATTAGTCATTGACGCACTAAACTGGCTACTATTATGATAAAAATATCAACAAATGAAAACTGCCACATTAATATGTGACACAGCTAATATAAGTATGTAGTGGCATTTCAACTTTTTTTAAAATAAATAAAGTCGTCCTGAAGATCTGAGGGTAAAACAGCCACACTGATTAGCCTTACAGACCAGATTATGGTAACGCAGACCTTTAATCCCAGTAGCCACAATAACACACACATTTAATCCCAGTAGCCATAATGACACACATCTGTAATCCCAGTAGCCACACTAGTTGCCATAGAAACTAGGCACTGCATGCCTTTAATGACAGTGGTGCACGCATTTAATCCCAGCCCTAGAGATTATAAAATGGAAAAAAACAGCTCTCAGACACAAATCTTATTCTGAGATTCTTGGAGGCAGGATCACCATTTCGGATTGAGGTGGAGGTAACAGTCAGTGGCTGGCTATTTTCCTTTTTGGACCTTCAGGTTGAACCCCAATTTCTGACCCTGAGCTTTTATTATTTGTGCTTCATAAATAAGTGGATAGCTTCTTAATCTACCTCTTGCTGACTATGTTGCCTTGATCTAGAATCTAGATAAACATTCTGAACCTCAGTTTCTACAAAAAGTACAGAATTTAAAAAAAGTACCAAGTTCAGAGTCATTTTAAGAAGAAAATGATATATATATATATATATATATCATTTAAGTATATATATATATATAAGTATATATATATATATATACTTAAAATAGTGCCTGATTTGCACCAAGTACCTGTATGTAAGGGTTCTGTCACCAGACATGTTATGGCTAAGGAAACAGTATTTATTATAGATATGAGAGAAAGAACAGCCAGGGGCATCTGGAAGAGTCCAGAACAGAAAGAGAAGTAGATTAAACACGTCCAGCAGACTGGATATGGCCAAGGCTTCTGGAGAGAGAATAGCAGGGGATAGAGAATAGAGAGAGCAGAGTAAGAAGAGCAAGATTAGAGAATAGTCAGAATAGCCAGATTATAAGAAGGGTGACTAGCTGGGTAGGGAGGGGTGAAAGGCTAGGAGATTGGTATGGTGGCTTTGAAATATTTAATAAGTACTTGTGAGTAAAAGGACCAAGGAAGCCTGGAGGTTAGCATGCTGATAGGTGCTGCTGGTGAGCCACATGACTCTTTTGCCAGAGGTAAGGGAAATGATTCCTTTCAGCAGAAGAGAACCAACTTCACAAGTTCTTGAGGAATGCTAACTTTTACCTAACCACCAGAAATCCTCCTATAATTTAGGTAGAGTTCATTTTTGGATATTTGGACTGCTTTTTGGAGTTTGGGGGATTAGAGTGTCCTTTGGGCCTGACAGTAGCATGCAAAAATATCAAATAGTACTTTAATTTAATGGTTTATGACATGTGTTGGCCAATTTCAGTGAAGTCAATGTGTTTCAAATAATTAGAGAAGACAGTTTATGTAACTATACTACCAAATCAGGCACAAAAGAACTGAAAATCTTTAACATCACTTACCATCCAGTAACACCTCCAATTAACAGCTGGGTTGCTACACTATACTTTTCAGCTGATGGCCCAGATTCCTGCCCAAACAGCTTACGCCACCATGGTTGCTTTTTAGTAAATTCTGCAAGATCCAGTGCCTCAAATTTTCCATCCAAGTTTCCTATAAGAGAATTAAGATATCCAGTTAATGGTTGCTGAGGAAGGAGAAGACATTTTCTTCAGTGGTATAGCTAATGGTAAGGTGCCACGCTCTAGTAAATAAACTCTCATCCATGTTTCTGTAAACAGCCCTAGTGAAATTCAATGGATCATCAAAAATAAAGTATAGTGAAGACAAGACAACAATTGAAGAGGGTATTTTGGAAAAGGATGGTGATCAGCAGAAATTGGCAAGGACAAAAAAGGGTTATGGGGTGGGTATAAATATGATCAAAACACATTATATACAAGTATGAAAAGTTATAATAAAATCCATCACCTTTATGATTAATATAGGCTAATAAAAAACTAAGAAAACTAAGATAAAAATATTTACTTTTATAATAATTTACCACCATTTCTAACTAGATTAAGAGATTTTAAAACAAAGTTATAATAAAAAATATACAAATGTTCTATTTTAAATAGTAAATTATTTCTGAAATTCTGGATTGGAATTTTGGAAAAACTGCCTAAAGTAAACAAATTTGAATATCTAAATTATGTCTGAAATTCTGGGTTGAATTTTGGAAAATCTGAATAAAATAAAAAAATTGAATATCTTTATTGATCTTCTATTGTTCTTCCTCTCAAATTTAAATCAAATTAAACTGATCTAGGAAAAACAAGTACTATTGGATAAAAGCATTCTAAATATAAATATTTTCAATTTACCTCTTTAGGTAATACCAATTTTCTGTATTATATGGATTTTCAGTGAATAAAGCAAACAATGTTTGAATGAGTGCTTACTAATTTATATACTTAGTAACAAACTAAATGCACAGAAAAATGTAGGTACCATTTATTAATCTCATTTTGTAATCAGGAAACAACACACTTTGGAATAGATCAGGAAAGGAAAACAAGACAACAAAACATCTTGTTTGTACAAAAATCATCTTGGGTTTACCTGTTATATCAAGTCCTTCCCTGAAAACATGTATCAAGACAACAAATGTCAAAAACTTACTATCCAAGACTATGTAGAAACAAAAGAAAAAGCCAAGAATTGTCATTTAAAAATAGAATAAAAAATAGAGGCAAAATCAGAGATGATCAAGATATTAAGTTAAGCAAAAATGTTCAGAAGGTTACATACATATCCAATTGGAGTCCAAAAAGATTATTGGGATGGGAGAGAAGTAACATTATAATATAAAACTTAGATTTAAAAAATGTCCATTACAGGTTAAGGCAGAGGTTCTCAACCTGTGGATGGCAAGCCCTTTGGGGAGGGTTGCATATCATATATCTTGCATATTGGATATTTACATTATAATTCATACCAGTAGCAAAATTACAGTTATGAAGTAGCAATGAAAGTAATTTTATGGTTGGGTTCACCACAACATGAGGTACTGTATTGAAGGGTTACAACATTAGCAAGGTTGAAAACCACTGAGTTAAGAAATCCTAAAATTTATATAGACAGACAAAGGACCAATAATAGTGTTCCAGTTACAAAAGTTGTACAACAAAATGCCCCCAAACATTATGAAACAAAGCTAAGGTGTCCAGTTCTTTGCAAATGGAATTCAGTCACAGCATTAAGACTTCTCTATTATTCTGTGATATCTGAGGCTTTAGCTAGATAACTTATTGTGCAGGGTCTAAAACAATCTGAGAAGTCTACAGTTACATGTACAGACTACTTTTCTCAGAGGCTAGAGTGGGTTACCTTAAGACCATTGTAATTAGCTCCCTCACAAATGGAGGAAAGATTAGGGACCTGGAAAAAAAAACTCATCATTTTAAGTCCTGGCCTCAGAAACCATGCAGTTTTACTACCATCAAATTAGACTAGAGTAGTTCCCATCCAGATTCAGGAATAAGAAATATAGACTTCAAATTCTACTGAGAGGGGAATAGCAAAGTCTACTTAAAACAGGCCATGTGGGAAAATATATCTTCTATATGATACATGGCCACAATAATCTTAGTGGGAAAGTTTAAGGGCATTCAAAACTTACAAGAGCCACTTAAACTTAATTTAAAGATTTATAAAGCTACAATATTCAATAAGATGCTACATCGACCCAAGTATACACAAAAATGTTAGTTGAAAACAAAGTCTAGAAATAGATTTATACATACTATTATGTCACTTTCCTAACAAGGTATATCCAGGTAATTCTACAGTAAAAAGCAAATTTTCTCAGTTTTGTTAGAAGCAATATTCATGTGTTTTTTTAAACAAATGGTCTACCTTATACCATACACAATAAAACAATCTATGTAACATAACAATAACATATCACCACCATGTTGAAGAAAATATCGCTGAAAACAAGTCTTTTTAATGTAATTTTACCAAGCCCATCCACACAACAGATGGCTCCAGTCAAACGTGGAATTAAGTTGATGATGGTGGATGAAGTGGAGTGAATAAAAGCAGAGTGCCCTATAGCCTACCCAATTTCATCAGTTGTTCATTAAGTACTGCTAAACAAAATTTACAAGCCTTGTCTATGGGCCAAGGAAAACAATGATAATTACTATAAGAAACTACAATTCATGTAAGCCTCAAGATGTCTCAGAAATTCCTAGGTACTCTCTATAGCAATTGCATCGCATGTGCTGGTTACAACCTAAATTTAATGAATCGACTGAATTAACGTTAACCAAATTAGAGTAAGAAGAATAACTTAAATGAATCGCTGCACTGGAGTTTTCTTTTTCAGTAGGATGACTAAAAGTACCATCTTATTATACCTCCTACTAATAACGAAAATGAGGACTGCCAGAAATTTGAGAGGCACAACCTAAGAGACGAACACGTTTTTGTCAGAGAGCCAAAACGCTTGAGAACAGGAACTGCATCTCTGTAGGATACCTCAGTAGGGGCGGTGCTAGAAGCCCGGAGGAGGTGAGCCAAGAAAATGTCCCAGGACAGCTCTGCAACCAGTCTGAGCATAACCTTGGCCAGGGGCCGAAAAGTCTCCAAGCCTCTCTGGGCACTACTGAGGTTCCCTGCCGCAGGAGGAATGCGGCAGGCCCTCGGCTGTCCCTCATCCTAAACCAGGAAGGCGGTTCCACCCTCGACCCTCCGCGCGAGCTTCTGCCTTTACCTTGACTCGTGGCGGCCATTTCGGGGGAACTAGTATCGCGAGGACACAGTTGCAGATCGCGGGACCAAGGACAGGCGTTAGTCACCCGCTACTGGCTTCCGGCAAGTGGGGCAGATACTTCCAGTCCCCTGGCAGCAAAAGAGGGCGGGCCTGGCACAGTGAGACAGCTTTTCTGTCCCAGAGCATTGCTTCACCAACCTAAGCTGCAACCCCACACTCGCGCAGAAGAATGCTTGCTATTCCCGCAGAAAGTCTCTTCGCCTCAGGAATGCCACGGTTTATTTCAGATTGATTGATTGATTTCAGATTGTTCGTATTTACGTAAGCAGTGAGCAGAATGCTTGCTATTCCTGCAGAAAGTCTCTTCGCTTTAGGAATACCACGGTTTATTTCAGCTTTATTTATTTATTTATTTATTTATTTATTTATTTATTTATTTATTTATTTCAGATTGTTCGTATTTACGTAAGCAATGAGCATATGTTAATTCCGGCGCTCATTCCAACGCTGTTTCATACCTTACACTTCTTTTTGGTATTTCTAGACAGGGTTTCTTTGTGCAGCCCTGGCTGTGCTGGAACTCGCTCTGTAGATCAGCGTGGCCTCGAACTCACAGAGATCCGCCTGCCTTCTGCCTACTGAGTGCTGGGATTAAAGGTGTGCGCCACCACTGCCCGGCTATTTTACACATTTTTAAAGCATTCCAGCCACATTAATAATGTACACTTGTATTATAATCGTTGCTTCTTGCTCATCTTTAAAGTTTATATATTTTTAAGAGATTTATTTTTACTTTATGTATATAGATGTTTTGCCTACATAAATGTCTTTGCAGCTTGTGTGTGCAGTCCCCAATTAGGTCAAAAGAGGGCATAGAATCCCCTGGAACTGGAGAGGGGGTGTGATACAGATATCTCAATAACAGCTGAGCACTTCATTGTCTCTTATTCTCTGTACATCTACTAGTTGTGAGTCTATTGCAAAAAGAAGCTTCTCAGATGAGGGTTGAAAGATGCCCTATTTTTACAGGTATAATGGTAAGACATGGGGCAGTTTATTTCTATGTCCATTTAGGAAAGCAGTAATATTAGGTTCTGCCCTATGTCTTAGGCAGCTATGAGGTTTTGGCCCTATAACAAGTATGAGTTGTATCCTGTATAGTGTCAGAGCCTGCTCCAACAAAGTCAGCCAGGGTCCCTGGAAGCGGGTGCTGAGGCTAAGGAAATGTTAGACTGAGAGAAATTGAGACAGAAAACGCAGGATAGATTAGGGGAACTTCCAGCTTACTCTGGACAGCCCCAAGTTTATTTCAGAGCCTGCTTGTATAGAAAAGCAGAACAAAGCACAGCACAGACAGTCAGTGTCTAAGACCATTCCTGTCCTTGAGCAAGCAGTTTCTTTTATCTGGATGTGCCCTAAGGTCTAGCATCAGCAGTATTCTTTCTACTAGATAGTATGTTCTTTTCTCATGGGCTGAATGCTCTTTTCCGTATGTCTTCCTTCCCACGGGCTTAATCAGAACTTTCTCACAGCCCTCAAGGATACTGGAGCAAGCAGAGCAGGCAAGCTTGAAGTCAAATGGCTTTTAAGTCAGAATTGATTCTAAATGGAAACTGAGTCACACGTGGGCTCCTACAGTAGAGTGGGCCTTAAATACAGCATGAAGTGGTTGGGAGTATCTTGCCATGACAACCATTATCATAGCTCACAGGGTTCATAGCTGCTGTGTAAGACTTTTTGATAACTTGTCTCCCCTAATAGCATGATAGCATGCATGTAATCTTACAGCACTGTGAAATCTTGTCAGTGTGGGTAAAGCTGGGTTTCCTTCCCTTTCTTTCTTTCTTTCTTTCTTTCTTTCTTTCTTTCTTTCTTTCTTTCTTTCTCCTCCCTTCCTTCCTTCTTTCCTTCCTTCCTTCTTTTCCCCTGCTTCTATTTTTGTTAGCCAGGTCTGTGTCAGTTTTATGACTCAGATATGTTATATCTTCAGCAATAGGGTCTCACCATCCAGTTCTGTAGAATAATTGACAATAACATTAGCTATAGCCTATAATGTTTGTAAATTTATGGGGCCAACAACTCCAAAAGAGGCAACCATTCCTGGTACTGAGCTTGATATTTATTAGCCTGTAGTGAATTGTCACCCTGTTGTAGGTGACATTTGAACTCCATTTGAACTCTTATATATGTATACATGTGTATTTTAGAAAGCATCTACAGTAGTAGGTTTCTATATGTCTTTTTCAAATACCTTTAGTGTTAGTATAGTGTTAGTATATCTCATACTCCCTTCTCTTTCTAGTCCTCCCATCCTTATCCTTACTTAACACTTCTTGTTCAGTTAGACCTCTTCTCTTTTCATACCCACTTCCCTTGAAATCTGCCTTCCCTTGCTGGCAAAATGCTCTTTCCTGTGGGATTAATCAGAACTTTCTCACGGCCCTCAGGAAATTGGCCTAGTTTTCTGATATCTATGGATACTCCAATTTAAAAACATGTATCTAAAGATTCAGTGTTAACATTCACATATGAGAGAGGACTTGAAATATTTGTCTTTCTGGATCTAGGTTACCTGATTGAGAATGATTATTTCCAGCTCTATGCATTTACATGTAAATTTGATAATCTAATTTTTCTTTAGAGAAATGGAATAGTATACTATTGTGTGAATGTATTGCATTTTCATTATCAATTTTTCAGTTGTTGGACATCCAGGCTTTTTCCAATACTTGGCTATTGTGAACTGGATAGCAATGAATATGGATATGCAGGTATTATAATAAGATGTAGACTCCTTTTGGATGTATGCCCAAGAGTTATATAGATGGGTCATATGGTAAGTTTGTTTCTAGTTTTTTAGGGAGGGAGGGTGTCTTAGTTAAGGTTTCTATAGCTTTGATAAAACACCATGACCAAAAGCAATGTGGGGGTGATAGGGTTTAATTCAGCTTGTGCTTCCAGATAACAGTCCATCACTGATGAAGTCAGGGCAAAAACTCAAGCAAGGCAGGAGCCTGGATGCAAGAACTGAAGCAGAGATCATGGAGGAACATTGCTTAATGACTTGCCCTTTATGGCTTGATCAGCCTGCTTTCTTATACAACTCAGAACCACCTGTCTAGGGGTGGTTCTGTCTATAGTGACCTGGGGCCTCCCATATTTATCATTAAATAAGAAAATGTCCAACAGACTTTCCACAGGCCACCTTATGGAGACATTTTTCCAACTGAAACTCATCTTCACAAATAACTCTGGTATATGTTAAGTTGACAAAGCAGAAACAACAACAACAAATAGGACAGAGGACACAGGTGTCTTACCTGGGTCTCTAGATCAGGTGGGCAACTGGAGAGTTGCTGTGGGGAAAATGAACTGGGATCTGGTAAATCCAAAAGTTTCTTTGCTGCTGGTACTGAGGAAGAGACTTTTAGAACAGTCTAGGAATCTGAGTACAATTGAAACCTCTTCTTTAGTATTCTGTACCTTTTCTCAAGGACTCAAACTTGGTGGGATAATCTCAGAGAGGAATGGGTTAAGCCTTAGCTCAGCCACCCTTTTCCTATTCCAGTTTTTCCTGTGCCTGCTTTGCACTGCCAAAAGGAAGTAATCCTTTTCAGCTCTGCTTAGTGCTAATGCTACTGTCACTCTCAGAAGATAAAATCCATAAAATCCTCTGCAAAATATTTAGGACTTTTCACTAAATCATAAATAGCTTGCATTTTTTTTCTTCTTGAGAGCTAGAGATATTTTAGAGAAGAGTTAATTTTTCTCTTTTCTAGTTGAGCACTTTCTAGGAATAAAAACCATGCAAATAGCACTCTTCACTTGCTTCTTTCTTAGCCTTTTCTATTTCTGCTCTAGTGCCACCAGAAGATATTATCTAGGTGCAGTGGAAGTGTACTGGAACTATAGGCAGAGTGACTTACTCAATGTGCTGCACACGGACACAAGGTAAATATGCTCTGTTGAATGTAACATTGTGAGGCTATGTCTTTAACTAGAAGAAGCAGACACTAGGCAAAGTGGATGACTAATACTTAGTTAAATCCTTCAAACATTTGCAGGTAAGGTGTGCATGCAGTCTGATTATTTGCACCATGTTGCTTGCCATTTCTTCTCAGGGACCTAATTTACTCATTGATTTTTGTTGCTTGATCATTGATTTTTTTGTTGCATGTTGGCACTGTGGTTTAGAGAGAAGGATGGGATGAGGGAGAGTGAAGATGCAAGGAGCATGGGAGAGAAAGAGTAGAATTCCCCTTAGCTTACCCCAACCTTCCATAGAAAGAACTAGAACAGTGAAATTCTCAAAAATATTCATATGGTAGACTTTTGTCTGATATTTGCCATTGCATCAGAAGCTTTTCATCTTTAGGAAGGGACTTTGACTTTGGTTTATCTGATGTGATTAGACCATTAATTGAACTCCTCAGTATTATAATTGTCACTGACCTATTTCAATTTTTCTACCTCTTCTTAAATCTATTATACCTTGATTTGATAAGGTATTGAAACTGAATTATATGATAGTCTATTATTTTGTCAAAGTACTGTCTGTACTATATCTCCCTTGTCATTCTTGACATTTCTCTCCCTCTACATCCTTCCATCTTCTTCTCTTTCTCCTTTTAAAAATAATACTTACAGAACATTTCCTGATTTTATTAGGAAATAAAACAAATATATTTGGGTTTATTTATTAATTTTTTAGTCTTTCTATTACTACAGTTTCTGTTTCTTAATTTCATTCATCAATTCTAATTTTATTTGGATCACTTTGTTCTATTTTTGCTTATGAAGTTGAACCCTGAAATTACTTATTTTATGTTTTACTGTGTTTTTTTTTTTTTTGGCTTTCTTTGTTGTTGTTTTGTTTTGAGACAGGGTTTCTCTTTGTAGCAGTTTGGGTTATCTTGGAACTCACTTTGTAGGTCAAGCTGGCCTCAAATTCACAGATATCCACCTGCCTCTGCCTCCTGAGTGCTGGGATTAAAGGTTTGTGTCACTACCACCTGACTATTTTTTTTAAATTTTTTGTTTTGTTTCGTTCTGAGACAAGGTCTCACTTTGTGGCACTTACGTCATGGAATTCACTTTGTAGACCAGGCTGCTCTTGAATTCACAGAGATCATCCTGCCTCTGCCTTTTAAGTGCTGGGATTAAGGGCATGCACCACAATGCTGGTCTTTCACTGTGTTTCTTTAAATGTGTACTATAAAGTTTTAAACACAGCCAGGAATATGAAAACAGGAAAATCAGGCATTCATGTCCAGATTTGGCTACATAGTGTGTTCATTGCCAGACGGAACTACTGGTGACCCTATCTCAAAATACCAAAAGAGATGGGGAGGATTTAAATACAATGTATATATTGTATTAATGTAAATGCTACATAGAGTCATATCACAAATACTGCATACCTATTTTTGGTTGTTTGTGTTTCACTTCCTCATTCTTCTCCCACATCACCCAGTCTTATTCAACACACAGTGTGTGCATGCATACACACACACACATTACTAATTTTTAAAAACTAGAATACTATACATACTTTATTTACTTTTTCACTCAGAAACACCTTGTAGAATTGTCTATAGGTCAGTAGACACAACCTAAATACATTCTTTTTAATATCTGTATAAGAGCTGTGTCATACAAGTAAACACATTAATATCATCATTTTGGAGGGAGGGTTCTATCCAATATCATAGTGTACTGATGTAGTCATTCATTCACTTAGGCTTTCACTTATTTTGTGGTGTTTGGGGTGGACTTCAGGCCTCCTATTTTATTCATGAGTGCTTTATCACTGAAATACAGTCCCAGACATGTTGTTATTTTAGCAAACAGATTCTCTGGTGGTCTTTTGCTGGAACAAATGAAATAGTTGTTTTGTTTTTGAGACAGGTTCTCTCTATATATCTCCAGCTGTCCTGGAATTCACTTTGTAGACCAGGATAGCCTAGAACTCATATTCACCTGACTCTGCCTCCTAAATTCTACAGCCAGTTGTTTTAGTTTCAATTTCTACAAAGTTCAAGACTCTTCATGAGTATACTGTATTTGCATCATTTTACCCCCTTATTGCCCTACAACTTTTCTTATGTCCCCCACCCTCAACTTCCTCTCAAATTTGAGTTCATGGTAGAACATGCCTGTTCCGTCTAGTAGGTACTATCAAAAACAGTCATTCTGGTCCTCAAGATCTTACAATCTTTCTGCCCGCTTTTCCATGCATGATGTTTCCTGAACCCACTTAGTTATAGATGTTGCATTTGGGACTGTGTCCCCATGGTTACTTATTCTCTGCATTTTGACAAGTTGTGGTTCTCTCTAATAGACTCCATCTATTTCAAAAGGAATCTTCTTTGATGAGATGTCAGAGCTGTACTTATCTATGCTATAAGGATGGATGTTTAGAAGGCAGGTGGAAACTATATTACTTTAATTATAGGATAGTTGTGGGTTCTTTTGTAGGGCCTATGATCTCTTCAGTCATAGGTTCTTGTCTAGGTTTACATACCAGGCAATGAGTTCCCTCAAACTGAATTGATTTTATATCCAATTTAGGCAGATGTTGGTTACTCCCTATACAATACAATACAATACAATACAATACAATACAATACAATACAAGTGCTACTATTTCACTACTGAGGCATCTTGCTGGTTTCATTATTGTTGTTGCTCTTGGACTGAACAACTGGGTAGGACTGAGAATAACTTTTCTTTCTTGGTAGCTTGCATAGCACCTTCTGACAGTATGAATGCTAGTCCTCAGGAAGGGGGGATTCCAGGTTAATACTAGCTCAATTCCTCCAAGGTCCACGAGCAAAGTGTGTGGTGTCTTGAACAATAGGATGTTGTGTGTGGTGTGTTCAACAATAGGATATTATCTTCATATTTTGACAGGTAGCCAAGAGCAATGACAATTGCCTATATTGCTTTGGAAAGTCTCTTGGACCCCACCCAACAACTCAAAAGGAGATATCCTTTGCCTGACACACTAACACTCTGGGGTTTTTATTAGTCTATAGCTCCCAGGAAATATTATTTCACTGTGTAGGATAACTGTATTAAGATGTGTGAGTATGTATGTACGTATGTGTGTGTCTGTGTGTGAGAGAGAGAACATATGTATTGTATGTACTTTTTTCTTTTTGATTTTTTTTCAAGACAAGGTTTCTCTGTGTAACAGCCCTGGTTGTCCTGGAACTCACTCTGTAGACCAGTCTGGCCTCAAGCTCAGAGATCCACCTGCTTCTATCTCCCAAGTGCCGGGATTAAAGGCATGCACCATCACTGCCCGGCTGTATTTGCATCTTTAAATAAGATTATAAAGTAATAAATTTCATTATGACTTTTCCAAACATCCTTAGTGGTATTTATCCCTCCTTCCTTCCTTTCCCTCTGTTTTCCTTCTTCCCATTTCCCAGTTAAGTCCCCCTTTTTTTCCTTTCCCATTGTATCCTGCTATCCCTATTTCTAGAGCTCCTTCTTCACCCTCTACAAATTGTCCCTTTGTTTGTTCCTGGTTTCTACAGTTATTCCAGGTTATACAATCAATCCTAAAGATTCAGATCCAGGATCCACAAACAAGAAAGAATATGTGACATTTGTTTTTCTCTGTATGGGTTACCTCATTCAAAATGATTGTTTCCAGCTCCATCCATTTATCTCTGACTTTCATAGTTTCATTTTCTTTCTTTTTATCTTTGTTAATTTTCTTTCTTTTTTTCCTTTATTTTTTCTTTTTTCGAGACAGATCTTCTGATTGTCCTGGAACTTGCTTTGTAGACCAGACTGGCCTTGAACTCATAGAGATCCACCTGCCTCTGTTTTCCAAGTGCTGGTATTAAAGATGTGCACCACCACCACCCAGCTCAATTTTTTTTTATAGTTAAGTAGAATCCCATTGTGTATATGTACTACATTTTTATTATCCATTCATCAGTTGGTGGATATCTAGGCTAATTATGTTTCCTTGCTATTGTGGATAAAGCAGCAGTGGACATGGGCATGCAAGTATCTTTGTAGTAGAATATGGAGTCTTTTGGGCATATACCCAGGAGTGGTATATCTGGTTCATATAGTAGTTCTATTTGTAGCTTTTTAGAACTTCCATACTGATTTCCAATGTGGCTGCATCAGTTTATTCTCGATGGGATAGAGTTTCTCTTTCCCAACATCCTCACCAGAATTTGTTGTCATTTGATTTTTTTTTTTTGATGATAGGCATTCTAACTGGGATGAGAGGGAATGTCAGTGTAGTTTTAATTTGAATTTCTCTAATTGCTAATGATGTTAAACACTTTAAAAGTGTTTATTAGCTTTTGTATTTCTTCTAGTGAGAACTTTCTGTTCAGTTCCACAGCCTTTTAAAATAATGAGTTTTCTCTCTTTTTCTTATACCTTTTTTATTTTACTTTTAAAAAGATTCTAATGAAATTACATTTTTCACTTCCTTTTTTTTTCTCTCCAAATCTTTCACTATATTGCTGTATTTAAAAATTCATGGTCTCTTTTATTCATTAACTGTATTGCTTGGATATATTATATGCACGTGCATATATATTCCTAAATATAACCTTCTCAGTCTGTATATTGTTACTAATATGTATTTTTTCAGGGCTGATCATTTGGTATTGAATAACAATTGATGTGTTCTTTTCCAGAGAAGACTTTTTCTTCTCTTGTCATTCTTAGTTGCCTATAGTTCTTTGTATGGGTTTGAGATCTCCTGTACTTTTCCTAGTCCACTTTGGCGTGTCTATTGGTGTCATGCTTGTTTAGTTCACATTTGTTAAGTTGTGTCCATGAGATCTTTTGAATGTAGTTTCTGATATTACTAGGAGACACAATCTCACAGCAAGTTCCTGTTCCTCTTGCTCTTACAATCTTTCCACTCCCACTCCCCAAACCTTCCCTGAGCTTTAGGCATAGAAGTGTTT